ATGTTGTCAAAAGGAATATTGCTGCGCCAGCGCATAATACCCCGACATTTGACCTTGATTGGTGTTGTGTATTTTGTTTTGCACATCGAGAATGCCATAGGCGAAAAAAAAAAGTAATAGACCATTCGATAACGTTTATTTATATGCCCTGGATCGACACGCATCACCTTTTCCTTCGACGCTGACAATTGCTACTAGCATCTGGCATATCATACAATAGATTCAATTGCAGGGAGCATGTACTTAAATCCATGGCAACAACAAGCGTCATCCTTTGATGCAACGATGCAAAAAGGTGTATACCATTGGTTACCGTGGTAATCATCCAACGCGACAACGTCACATACATACAATATGCATTGCTGATTTGGAGATACATGCTCAAGTTTCCTTACTACGTCTATGGGTCACTTTTTTATTGAAGGTTGTAAATATTGTGGATCTATGTCAAGCCTTTCGTATTTAAAAGGAGATGCTAACATGCCATTTATCGATTATAAAGAGCCCGACCATTGAGTGTTAAGTGACCCATCGTTTATTGTTTGCAATAAAAAAGTTGCAAACGACATTCCAACTGCCCTAAGCCGAAACATTGGTCACGTTAACATGTGCTTCTTAATCACATGTGGGGCTTTGTTCAGCATACCAGTAATGAGGGGAGCTGCTGAAACCATTGGATGGTAGAAAAAGGGGCCCATAAAATGGCGTATAGCAAAAGATGGGCAGGGTACCAACATGACATGAATGAACAAGTGATGAAGACCAGGACATAAAGGGGCCATTAACTAACACGACAACGAGGAGACAAAGAAAACATAAAAATCCGATCCGGTCGTAACTTGTATTGTCCATTGTCTTTTTATATTTTCACGACGTAAGAGGTTGTGGGCCATGAGTGAGCACTATTGCGATGTTGGTTTGGTGCAATCCCATGGTCAAGAAAGGACAACTTGAGCATCGTATGTCATGCTGTTACAAGAGCACCACCGCGATTAAGGAGATAGTTTCGTTACACCTTTATTATGTGTACGTTGAATGTAAATTATCATCATCATATCAGCTCTCAGGTTTGAACAAATGCATGCGTGTGATTTCTAGAAACGAGTGGAAACGGTGCTTGAAATCATGTGATGTGTCAAAAAGTCGAGGCACAGATCAAGAATGGTTACTGCTATCGGGTCATTATCGATACAACAACGTTTATAGTTTCAGCCACATGTAATAAATGTTGCTTGCATTAGGGAGACGTTTCATATATAGACTCCTCAGTAAGGCAATGACACTAAAAAGATGATTTCTATGCCTTGCTAATTAGCAGCCAATTTACAGACTATGTATGGGTACAAAGTACCAGCAACGACATCCACCTATACATGGATGCATAAATTGGTTGTTAAACAATGATTGTAGCACCATCCTCGATGTTACCCTGTTGTCGCAATTTATATAATTGGGCAATTTGGTTAACAGTGACTACTACTACTATTGTACTCCTGCAGCATTTGCTCCTATGTGTCACTGGTCCTGTCATTGAAAGGATCAACAATAACAAGAAACGTAAGAGAATAAAGAGTGATACGGAGGAGGAGGACGTGACACATGACGCCATTTGATGAAGAGAGCTAGCTATCAAAAGATGCTATTATCCATAAAGTTGGGTCGTCTGGGATATCATGTGTGGCAATGATCTCCTCCTCCTCCTGTTCTCCACCTTACACACGCACACCCACTTTTTGTCTCCTTTTACCGAGAGCGGGAAATGGATAATAGCATTTGGCAGCTGTGCAACATGAGACGCTTTTGGTATGGTTCGATCTGTGTCCAGACAACCAATTTGTGTTATGTTCAGCACATTCATCCTCTTTTTGTAATTCACTTTTTTTCTTTCTATCGTTGTCCAACAACCCATTCCCCATTCCATTCTTTCATATATCGCCATCATCATTATCATCAATTCAGTCTATTATCATAACAACAACAACGACACATCTTCTACATATTACAACGCGTCCGCTAGAGGAGACAATAGATAATTCCAATGTCACAACAGCAGCAAAGACAACAGGGCGAACACGTCTCTGCTGAAGATGAGCTTGTGCACTTGCGATCGCAGAATGAGCAGCTTTGGAAGATTGTCGAAAAGCAGCGTGTCATGATTCAGAACTTGCAAAAGGACAATAGTCGACTGGCCATTGAACGAGATGGTATTCTTGACAAGTATCAAGCCCTCGAAAAGGAGATGGGCATGCGTACACAACGACAACGCTATACATCGATCCTCATCTCGCCCGAAATGCTACGAGAGATTGCTGAAGCAGACGATGCCACCACACCCCTTGAACAACAACCACCTACTGTACCTACTATCATTACCAGTAATTTGAGTACAGGGTCAACAACAGCTACAGCAGCAACAGGAGGAGGTGCTACTACACCTTCGAGCAGTGGTAGCAGTAGCCCAGTGCCACCACCACGATCTCCTTTTCGACGTGTACCAGCGGATGATATTCGATCGGTCAAGAATATGGAGACATCACCACCCACATCGCCTGTACCTACTGAAAAAGCCAGACGTAGAAAGGCTCGTGAAAGTATGATGCCTCCTCCACGTACGGTTCTTGAACACGACCCAACTATGCGCGCTGCATCACCGCCTCTTCCCCGCATCATTCCGTCATCTGGTTTATCCCGCTCTGAAACACCCCCCATGGATCATTATCATCATCCACTTGCTGTGCCCACCATTCAGGAACCATTTCAACAACAACAACATGATCATATCGAGCATGCTGGTTCTAGTTTCTCCGTCAATGAGGTTTACATCAAGGTCACGGGTTCTACCATCAAGACCAATGAACGTGGTAAAGAAGTCATTTCATTCATCATTGCCATTGGTCGATCCGAGGAGCCTACTTTTGATGAGCTTTGGCGTGTGGAAAAACGTTATTCGGACTTTTTGGATCTCGATGCAAAGGTAAAAAGAGAAGAGAGAAAATATGCCGCAAAAGCAAAAAGAAAAAAAAAAGGTCTTGTCCAATGTGATGCAAGTCTAACCTTAATCAATTTAGCTCAAGGCACAACCAAATCCAGAAGTCACGAGCAGAATCTCAAAATTACCTGACAAGGCCATGTTTACTACGCATGCTCCCAGCAAAGTGGATCAACGCAAGGTAAAGAGAGCGAAAGAAAAGGGACCTTGTAGATCATTCATTCATTCATACATGTACATACATAGTTGGCATTGGAGCAATATTTACAACATGCACTTTCGCTTCCTTGGCAAGACATGTCCGACCTTTGTGAATTCTTGAGTACCAACGTCATTGAGCATGATGTATACCGAAAGGTAAAAAGAAGGTTTGAGTGGTGATACATTGCAAACTCACTCACCTTGGTCATTTTAGGCAATTGGTATGAAGGAAGGCTACCTGACCAAGCGGGGCAAGAATTTTGGTGGATGGAAATCGCGGTACTTTGTATTGAATGGTGATGTGATTGATTACTTCGAATCGGTAAGTTGCTATAGCATGATGGCATTTATCATATATACTTATACTGTAAATAGAAGGATGGCAATCAACTAGGCACGATCCGCCTCACCAATGCCCAGATTGGCCGTCAGACATCAGGTGTTACACCAGCGGCCGATGACAACAATAGCGTTTATCGTCATGCCTTTTTGCTCGTTGAACAAAAGCGTGCTGGTTCATCCAATGTGGTGCGTCATATCCTATGTGCAGAATCAGACCAAGATCGTGATGAATGGGTTGAAGCCATTATCCAAAATATCAACTTTGACAATGACCCACCCGCCAGCCTTGTCAAGGAGAATAAGCGCAACAAGAAGGATAAACCACGTAAATCATCCAAGGGCGATGTGGTGCCTACAGTGAAGGAACCTGAAGGCGTAGTAGTGGGTATGGCTATCAGTAGTGGTGTTGGCCCTACACCTTCTGTGTCAAGTGATAGCACCGATTCTTCCTTATTATCATCTTCTTTACCTTCCAATGCGGGTGGTATGCCACCACCACCACCTTCTGCTGCATGGACAACCGATTATGGCCGTACTAGTTTGGATCAGCAATTACCTCCACATGGCCGTAACTTGCATACACCACCACCTATTCTTATGCGTCGTAGCTCCATGGTCAATCTTAGTACTACGAGTGAAGAATCAGCAGCAGCAGTGCCACCACCTATACCAACACGTGCTCCATCCCCTTCAAGTGGACGTACCAGTGAAGACATTCTTGATGAGATGCCTGATAAAAAGACAAAGAATAAGGCAAACAGGATGACATTTTGGGGCAAGAAAATGTTCAGCAGTAGCAGCAGCAGTAACAACAGTACCGAGAATCCACCTGCTCCTCGAACATCCAATTCATTAACCACCGATTCAGCTTCTACTACCACCACGAGCACAACACGAGCAAGTATTGCACCCTCAGGATTCCGAAGTTTCTTATCCCGATCATCCAACGAGTCCTCAGACCGCCATCAAAAGCAACCTGAAGGACCCTCACCGAAACAAGTCTTTGGTATACCCTTGGAAGAAGCCGTTCGCGTATCACGTGTGGTGGAAGGATATGAATTGCCCTCTGTGGTCTATCGATGCATTGAATATTTGGATGCCAAGAATGCTGTGATGGAAGAAGGTCTTTATCGATTGAGTGGCAGCAGCACGGTCATGAAGAATTTGAGACAACGCTTTAATCGTGAAGGGGATGTGAATTTGTTGGCTTCCAAGGAAGAATACGATGTGCATGCTATTGCTGGTTTACTCAAGATGTGGTTACGTGAATTACCCACCAGTGTGCTTACACGTGAACGCCGCAGCGACTTTTTGCATGTCATTGATTTATTGGACCGCAAGGATCGTGTCAACGAGCTTGGTCGTTTGGTTTCCCAGTTACCCTTGGCTCACTACACGTTGCTACGTGCATTGACGGCCCATTTGATTCGTGTCGTTCAACATTCGGATATCAACAAAATGACCGTACGCAATGTCAGCATTGTATTTTCACCTACCCTTGGTGTGCCTGCCATGATTTTCAATTTATTCATGAGCGAGTTTGAGTATGTCTTCTGCACGACCGAGGATGGTGATGCTGCTCCACGCATGATTGAAGATGAAGATGATGAGGAAGATGATGATGAACAACAAGAAGAAGCTACCACACAAAATCAAGATGAATCTACCACGTCTCAACAACAACAACAACAACAACCTGCATCTGGATTGAGTCGCAAATCCACACTCAAATTACGCGACGAATATGGTCGAAATAATCGCAACAGTATCAGCTATGTCGATGGTGCACCCAACGCTATTGTAGAATTGGAACGTAACATGGATGGTACGTATGGCATGTCTGCCTGGTTGATGATAAATACTAATGGCATTTAAATAGGTCCTCCTGTTTTGGATGAAGATGATGAAGAAGTAGATGAATTAACGCTATCCACATCCCAACCACGCCCCTCCGAAGATGATACCGCTTCCGTAAAGAGTGAACGTACCGATACGCCTACACCAACCAACAACACATCACGTATTAGCTAATCCTTTTCCGCCTACTACTCTTCCTTCTCCTCCTCCTCCTCCTCCTCCTTCTTTCCCTGCCCTTTCCTCTCGCTTTTTTTATCACTTCTTTTATATAGTACATGCTCCTTCCAATTATTGAGTAACACACATGCCCGAATACAGAATCTTTTTTATCATATATATACTTTAATGCTATTCAATACTACTATTACTACTGCTGCTGCTACTACTGCTGCTGAATGAATGGATCCCATGAATAGCTGTTGGTTTTGAGCTGTAATGCATGGCTGTTCCTTTTGTTGATTGATCCACCTTGTAGAATGACGAACTACCAAGGTATTCTTCCACACTCTTGTAATCTATACAAATCGATGGCTGAGGTTAATATACGCTGTGAATGGGATGAAAGAACGTTGTTCTATTTACCCATGGCTTGGAATATCCTTTCAAAGTGCGGCATAAATTCGCTTGTCGGAATGTACAAGTTGAATTCAAGATCGGCAAACACAGCAAACTCGTGATCACGCACTTCTTTTGAATCCACATCCAATTCATCATCAATGGCCTAAACAATGATTTAATTCCCTGAACTCATTCATTGCACTCCCCCCTACTGTACCTCGAATAATGGTTCAAACCATGTTCCTTTTGCTTCATTCGCTTTGGTGGCTAAAAATAAGCAGCATGCTAAAGGTGATGTGAGTAAGTAACCAAGCACGGGACTCCCCATTGATCCTGTATACACATACCTGCAATCAACTTTCGATTCTTTTTGGTGACCACATTCTAGAAAAAAAAAAGTGGATTTAGTCTCTGCCTATCCATCCATCCATCCCATCCATGCAAGTTTTTTCTTTCTTACCTTCATGACCAATTTTTCAAAGTAGGCAAATGCATGGGCCACACTGGAAATCTCCAAATCGACCGTTTTTGCAATTTCAAGCAAATGTAACTTGATAGCACGGATCTTGCTCAAGGTGATCTCGGGTGATATTTCGGGATGTTTCAAACGAAATTGTTCATTCAACTCGCGTTTCATATCCGAAGGTCGCATATGGCTCCCTGCAGCCGCAGTCGTTGTACCCTGATAAAAGTGGTTGACATGGCAGAGATACCCAAATATAAATCATTACCTGAGAGCTAGATAAAAGACCGAATCGGTTGTATGTATCATTGTCGAGGAAATAAGCATCGTACGTGCTATTGCAGCGACTTGCATCTTGTCTACAGATTCAAATAGGTTAACCATGTGTGTGTGTGTGTGTGTATGTATATAGCAGGGCGAAATGCTACTACTTACTCCAAGGAAAAGGAAGGTGCCAAGAAATGTGCATAAGAAAGTGCATGTCGGCGTTTGTTGCTATCATGATTGGCCAATTGCTGATGTCTACAAGTGTAGAAAGAGAGAGAGATGAATATCCCATGTCCACCCCCCCTCATGATAAAGAATAGATACACATACAGATAACCTCGATTGATGGATTCTTCAGCTGCCTTGCGTTTACCAGCAGGGAAACGGATTTTGTCAGTGTAATAGCGTACGACTGAGAGGAGACCGCCATGATAGTTCTAATGAGGGAGGGAGGAGATTAGCGACGATCAAAGAATGTGAGTGATAGTGGCACTTGCCTCCTTATCGGCATGATGTGATTTCTTTTTGATCTTTTCCGATGCAATGGGACGTTCGCTGTCCTCTCGAGTCAATTTATGATGTTGTACATCGTCTTCATCGACCGACCATCGGCGACGAGATGGCATCGCCACTTTGTGGTGTTCCTTCAATTGTTGACTTAGGAGTGATCCTGGTGCTGCTGCTGCTGAAGCTGCTGCTGCTGCCGTTGTCATAACGGATGGCGTGGTTGCCATAGATGGTGGCGCAGCGGTGGATGAGCATGGTATGCCGTGCGTAGCTGCTGCTCCGGAAAATACATGTTCTTCTGAACCATGGTTGCTATCGGTAGAGTGCAGCGATCCAACAACTAGAATAGAAAACAATGCAAGATTGTGCGTGTGAGTGAAGGGCGTGAAGAGAGGGGGGAGTCCATTGGTGTGTGTACGTGTGTGTGTGTTGTGATTGACTACTACCTTGAGAATGGATGGCATGGGTTGTTGTTGTTGTGTCATGGTCGTTATGAATGGATTCAAGGCTTTTGGCATGGTTGGATTCCAAAGAAACGGGACTGACAATGGCAGAAGAGATAACTTGTCGATCAGCTGGTTGTTGTTGTTGTTGTTCGTTGCCCAAGGAAATGTTGGATAAAAAAGAAAAGGCAGTTGGTCTCGAATTGTTACGCCTAGATTTACGACTTTTCGTCGTGCCCATTGGCGTACACAAAGGGAGTGAAGTTGTTTAAAAAGAAAAGAAAAAAGAGGTCGCGATTCAACCGAAAAGCAAGGGAGTGTGTAGGAGCGTAATATAAAAAGAGCAAAGGAAGAGAGAGAGACGACGGATGCTGAGAATGAATCCCGCACACAATATGAATGCAAAGGATGATGCGTGAGTGGATTATGTTTGAGCGAGAGAGAATGAGCATTGTAGTGAACATAAATCCGCCTCCGTATATGGTACAGTGATGACGGTGATGGCTGTGTGGGGGGCGGGGGAGGATTGCCAAGGAGATTGTGTCAATGGGGCGAATGATGATGATTGATTGTAGGATGTGTGTGTATGTGTGTGTGACATGTCATGCATGAAAAAGTAGACAATGACACACATTCAACTCTCTGCTGTTGCAACTCAAATCAACTGTTCTTTTATACAAGCAGAATCACACGATTTAAATGAAAAAAGATACAAGATGATGGGCGGCTGGTAAATGTGTGCAACAAAGGCCAGCTGCGGTGTCATATAACCTAACTACAGCAATAATATGGCATCCGGGATAGCGTTCCGATCTGTCATAGTCGCATCATGTCATTCATCCTTGTTGATAATCAAGATAGGAAATGGTTTTATATTGGCAAGTGATGCTAATGTAAGATGGAATGGGGCAGAATCATGTGCTGAATAGCGTGTGTGTGTGATGTGAAATTTCGTTTGAAATGATCATCATGGTACACGGCAGCTAACAATGAACCATGGGGACACAACGCGTTACACAAAAGTGAGGAGAGACAAGGAAAAAAAAGATCTTTTCGTAAAGAGGAAGGGAATGTGAACTTGTCCTACTCATCTTTCTTTCTTTCTTCTCGAATGGGTGCTGTTTGTTGTAAAGGGGATATTGATTTTGATAGTCAAGGTAGTAACATGTCGATCCCAGCTATTATCATCTCCACACACGCACATACGTAGACACACATATGCATCATACTCAATTTTATTATTAGTCTATCTCGATCATTTCTATCAACTACGTGCTGTGGGTCGAGGCTCGTTTTTCAAAGTTCGCATAGTACGACACAAGCGTACCGGACGTGAATATGCCTTAAAGTACACGTCAAAGGATCGTTGCATTCAGCGCAAATGTGTTGGACCCATTTTATGTGAACGACGCCTCTTGGAACGACTCGAATACCCTCTCATTGTCAACCTGCGGTATGCATTTCAAGATGACGAGACTTTATACATGGTGCTTGATCTCATGCTGGGTGGTGATTTACGGCACTTGTTGGATACGAGCGGTCCACTCAAGGAACTCCAAGTCCGGTTCTATGTTGCCCAAATTGCATTGGCGCTTCATTATCTCCATCTCCGGCGTATTGCTCACAGGTAATCAATATGAGACACGCCCACTCTGAAACGCGTCCTGTTTTCCACTAACACAAAGAATAGAGATATCAAACCCGAAAACATCTTACTAGACGCACGAGGACATGCTCACGTTTCTGATTTCAATGTGGCGGTTGGATTCTCTCAACAAAAACCATTACGTTTTACAACAGCGGGCACGATGGCTTACATGTCACCTGAAATGCTTGGTAAACAAGGTTACAATTACTCAGTCGATTGGTGGTCTTTGGGTGTCACTGCCTATGAATTACTATTTGGCAAGGTGTGTGTACAGGATTTTTTTTGTGGCGTTCTAGATCACTTATGCATGGATGATAGCGACCTTTCAAAGGCAAAACCAACGATCAAATGGCGGAATCCGTTTTACACACTCCACTTGAATTCCCTGCCAATGTGTATCAGATTGTATCAGCCGACTGTGTGAACATGATATCAGGAGTATGTAGTAGTTGTAGTAAATGGCATGTTATGCGTTATCATATTGATGCCTCTTCTTTTTCTAGTTACTCGAAAAGTCCCCCAACAATCGACTTGGTTTCAAGAGTTTTGAAAAATTCAAATTGCATCCATGGTTTGCAGGTCTCGATTGGGATGCACTTGAATCGAAACAAGCTGTACCGCCTTATATACCCAATGTAAGCGACAATGATAATGACAATGATGACAAGGTAAAAGAAAAAGCTCATGATTGATTGCTTTTAGGATAAGACTTTTCATTTTGATGCTGTGCATGAAATTGAAGAGATGCTCTTGGATGATCCACAACCACGTAGTCGAAGATTACGCACTTCACAATCAGACCACCCACCTGTCACTGAGTACGCCCAATGGAGACAAATCGTCGAAGACCACTTTTTACCTTACGATTATACAAAACAAGATATGGTGTTTAGCCCGCCACCACCCCCTGCTACGTCTTCTTACAATTATACTGTGATCAAGGCAGATGACGATGATGGATTTATTTATGATCGTCCCCATAACAAGAAAATGTTATCATCCACATCAGCCGCATGACATGACCATCTCCAAATAAATTCACACACACACACACACATGGGCTGTTGAAACATGTATGAACAACAATGTCATTGTCTGCTCAAAATGGTTAATGAATCACACAAGCTGTTGTGACACATCAATTGCATCAGGTTGATTGTTCCATTCATGTGATGGCAAGTGCGTATATATCAAGGCGTGATATGTCTATATTATGATTGTGTTATATACCATACGGTTTGCTGAAATGACGAATAACACGACACGAGAGAGAGAGCTATGTATGACAGCCACACGCTTTGATGGCAAATACAGTTACAAAGGATCTCGCATGACTCCGCTGAGATTGCATAAAATAGGGCAATGGTATTCCTTGGCGGTAGGATGAGTCGCCTTGTTGACGTCTTCCGCCGTGTATCAATAAAACAGCTATCCTACAAGGTCGAGACAATGTATCGGCAAGATGTAATCAATAAAGGGAGATGAGTTGTATTATCAAATGCACCCATTATTCAAGGCACAATGAACCAATCATGCCCTTTCTCTTTCTCTCATTCTTCCTTTATCACAGCATTTACAAGTGAATGTACTTTTACATCCTGCATTTACCGTACCATGGATCTTTCTATAATACAATCCATCACGTGCTAGTATACAACGAGGTCCAACTCATGAGAAGGGAAGCTTCTTACACTAAAGAACTAAGAAATGGTTGACCAACGCAATCCCGTATTCGTTAAGATAAGCCTTTAATCCAACATCGTTCCTAAGATACAGATTGAAAGGTACAGCGATATGGTTCAAATGGGGGAGTGGAGCTATAACGAGTTGAGAAGTTTCTATCGTTTGGTGAGCATTGTTCAAAGGTAAAAATGGATGGACGTGAGTTGGATGATGATGGTTGCCAGGTTGCACAAAGGATGATGATAGTAGCTGCCATAGAGATAGCCTGGTAGGGTCGATAATTGGGTGCATCAATCGTTCAGGACGAAAACATCAAGGTCAAGTTGACAATGGATGCATAAGAACAGGGCTCTTTTTCCACACGTTGTATATACCCGAATCCTTCCATCCCATGCACCAAACCAATATTCATATCCATAATAACTCGTATGTATTGAAAGCAAGTTGCTACACGTAAATAAAGCTGCTTCTATATGATGGCTATCTGCTGTCACGTAACAACGGCTGCAAGGCACGTCGCTGCAAGCAAAGATCGCCGTTTTGAGACAATGGAGTAGAGGCCTTGCTAATGGCAACTGCTGCAATGGATGCTGCTACATTTGATTGTGATAGAGGAGCGTGCAAGAGAGGGTGAAGTGTCAAGGAAGGCGTGTGTTGTAGAAGAGTGACAAAAAGGCTGTGTACGCATCATGGACATGCCATTCAGTCAAAGACAATCGGATCAAGGCAGTTGCAGGATTGACATGATGGGCTGAAGCAGGACAATCGTTCGCAGGTGGTAGTTGTGCTTGAATGGGGCAGCAGTTGAGAATGGGACGAAGAGTCAAGAAGTAGGAGAGGAGAGTACTGGAAATTAAAGTATGTTGAATGATGTTTCTTTGTTTAAGCGTTTTTCAGTCAAATCCACTCGGATAAAGAAAGTTGAAGGATGGAGATGATGGGCTGGAGCAGGGGAATCGTTCACATGCATTGGTTTGGGCAACAAAGGCTAATGGGAGGAATGGGCTATTAGCTGGTAGTTTACAAATAACTTTGCAAAATGATTCTTCTGATATTGGATGATACTTCTGTGTTTGAGCGTTTTTCAGTCAAATCCTCTCGGATCAAGAAAGTTGAAGGATGGGGATGATGGGCTGGAGCAGGGCAATCGATCGTGTGTATTGGTTTGGGCAACAAAGGTGAATGGGAGGAAAGGGCTATCAAGTGGCAGTTTACAAATAACTTACCAATTTGATTCTTCTGATATTGGATGATGTTTCTGTGTTTGAGCATTTTTCAGTCAAATCCTCTCGGATCAAGAAACTTGAATGGTGTGCATGCTGGGCTTGAGCAGGGCAATGGTTCACATGCATTGGATTGGGCAACAATGGTGAATGGGAGGAAGGTACCTATTAGCTGACAGTTAAAACAGGGAATTAAGTTTGCAAAAGTATCATGCATTGATTCAAGCCCTGAGTTTTTGTCTCTGTCACACAAAGAAATCCTCCTGCATCTTTTGCTCTATCATCAGGGTCAAGCTAATTCACAATGAACAAGGGCACTTTTCCTATAGCACCACACCTATAGCATATGTAAAACATAAAGACCCCAGGCTTCATTGTATTGTTTTGAGATATGGGTGTCTTTATGTTTTACATATGCTATAGGCGTGGTGCTATAGGAGAAGTGCCCTTGTTCATTGTGAATTAGCTGGACCCTGATGATAGAGCAAACGATGCAGGAGGACTTCTTTGTGTAACTCAACTCTTTTGCATGATTCGAAGGGTCAATGGATGATACTGTATACATTGATCAGCAATAGCTCATAGTTGGCAGCTAACATGCACTTCTATCGATTCGCAGCTTTTGTCTATTCCATCACAATGGAACAATGCTCCTCCTTCAGCCCATCATTTCCATCATTCAACTTTCTTGATCCGAGCTGATTTGGCTGAGCTACGGTCAAAGAGAGAATACACCAGCCCATATACATGTAGGGCTATCTACCTCGACTGATCTTTCTTTGTTTGAACGTGGCTCCGTCAAATTAGCTCGGATCGAGACAATCGAAGCATGGAAATAAATATCTGGAGCAGGTGCATCTTCCCCATGCAGTGGATTGGGTAACAGTGTCAATTGGAAAGAAGTGGGTGTTAGCTCGTAGTTTATTATGAATTCATAAATTACATGGATAGCATTGTGATTACCCATCTCTTATTCATTACTTGGTTTGAAGATGCTCTCGGACACGCTAATAAAGATAGCCCACTTCACTATGGGAATTTGTGTATATGATGTTAAATTGCTTTCTCCGCTGCAGTGAACATTGTTCGAGGGGAAGCTTTTTTACAGAGGTAGTCTCCTAGGTGGTAAAGCTTTGCAACCTTCTATAAATATGGATTCTACGAGGTTGTAATAAACGTTACTCCATAGCCAGTGTTAAGCCATACAGCTAGAAATCAAGAGTTTACGAGCAAAGCGAGCAACTCGCGTCGCTAGCCCTTTCATTACGCTTTGAGAGAGATACCTACTACCTTTGGTGATTAGTACACCAACCGATCCAGCAGCTTTCATTATTGTAGGCGAGCCCACATATACACTTCCCATAGGTGGCTTTGTCATCCTCCATCATCCCACATACAAGTGCCAAGTTGGAGCAGTTGTTTAATGAACCGTTGTTGAATGTTTATGATTCCAATGGTCATTCACTAGGAACGCGTATTATCATTTTCTTTCGAGTTGAGAGAGAGAGTTGTAAGAGATAATGTTTGTGTCGTTGGGATAGCTCGAAGCAGTACTGAAAGGTTGCAACGATACTGTTGTCCAAGACACCTGGGCTTCTTCCCAAAGGAAAAAGACACCAGGGTTCTTTCGCGGGGATGATTAGCGCAGCCAGGCCTATTGTGTAAGCTTTGCACAAGCTACGACTCTAATATCACGCCCTTGGTAAAGAAGAAAAACACCAACTGCACCCTCGTCGGCTGTTTATAAAGACATGGAAAACTTTTTTGACATCCGCTTAGCGAATCATATTATCTCCGGTGCGTGTAACAATATACATTTTATTTAGGGGATCAATGATTGCCGGTGATCTCGATTACCAAGTTGATTACTGTACATATCAAATACACGGCTATTGATCCAATACCAAATATACGGGACATTCGATAATTGTTCAAGGGGACCAGGATAAGAAGCGAAACCAACACCACCAATAACCCAATTGCTGATACAAGAATCGTCGTGGATAATTCAATAGGATAAGGAGCATTCCTTTCGGTCGTCACAAAGGTGGCACCAATGCCAACACCTAGCATAATATCTATGTTTGCGTTTTGTGTGAGGAACGAACCTTCATCCTATGATGCCATTCTCATCCATCATCACTTACTAAGCATGGGTCCACCAAAACATGCGCTCATAGCCATCATTGGATAGCCCATTTTGGCCATGGTGACGTTGGCGACAAGATCACCCAAGCTGTTACCCTATTGTATGCGTTAATAAAATCATCCTCCTCCTCCAGTACACAACCTTGCATCTCTATTTACCAATGCAAACACCGTCAAGCCCAAGATCGCATCACTGATACCCAATGCCATGCCCACCGTTTGAAGCACACTGACCACCTCATTGGCAATGACATAAATCCAAACCATGGCAATAGCAAATCCAACAAACGACATCATCCAATAGAGCCGTGGTTGACGTAGAGGCGATGTGGTGAGTTTGAAGGCGACCGTGATCAATAATCCAAATCCAGCTGCCACAGGAAGAATAATGGCTGCAGGAACAACATCATTCACAGCAAAAACGGTAGCGACAAAGATGGGCGCACATACAAGTTGAACAGCTGTCATCCACTGGTTCCATGTAGCTCGCGATTCAGCTAATTCATTCATATCCACAGGCTCATCCGGGATATCCTGCAACATCTCCAATGCATCTTCATCGAGAACCACGCCTTGGACGGCGCTTTCCTTGACAACAGGGAGGGTGATGGCAAGCAAAAAGATGACAGGTGCAGATATCAGTGAGCTGATTTTGCTGTAAATGGATTTCTCTGAAAAGTTCTCGAGCGATGGGAATAAATAAAATGTCACTTGCTGAGGATCGAGGCCGATCTTTGCAAAGTAGTGATATAGTCGTGATGGACGTGATGGGTATACAGGCGTTGTTGGACGAGAGGGTTCGTTACGTGAGCTGAGAGGAACACTTTGACTGATATCTTGATCCGATTCTCGTCGTCGATGGTGATGTCGTGTGAAACCACTTGCTCTTGCATTCGCATGTTGTAATGATCGTACCACATCTTGAAACTATGCATAACAATTGTTATTAAGGAGAAAAGTAAGCTTTTTTCTACTTACCTCTATGGCTGAAAACAAGGATGTACGAATACGCAGCTTGGGGTGTGTCGTACCACGTCGACCGGTTTGATATCCCTCCGTTTCAAATCCTTCATCATAAAGCTCCATTTCATCTTCCTGCACATCTTGACCTATTGAGGTTGTCAATCCTATATCCATCCACCAAAAGAGAAAAGAGAATATCGATTTTCTTACCGTACCAATCATTGCCACGTAGCAAGTTGTCTACTTCGGGTCCATTCTCTTCATATTCCAGTCTCGCACGTTGCACCAGATTCAGATAATTGGATCGTTTCTTCATGACATAGTTGCCACCCACCACCACCAAGACGTAGATGATATAAAATACAATGAGGATGATAGCTTCGTAGAGGTAAATCAGTCCATCGGCTACAATGGCCATGATAAGAAGAACGGCTGCTGTGAAGAAGCTGACATCACGTATAAAGCTGAATCGTTTGGTACGAAATGGTTTGATGGCGCACATGGATCTATCGCATTCTCACATTGTCAGCCTCTTGTTACATAGTGATAAGGATTGATTGCCTACTTACCCTGCCACGACGCTGACAATAAAGGCTGCAGCACCTACTAATTCACCCAATGCTAATGATCCCATATCCGAGTTCATGGCACTAACGAGGGAATCAGTATACAGGTTATAATAGTCCATGGCTATGGTGATCCTCTTACCTGAAAGTCGAGAATAGATCGGGACTTCCATTTCCAAACGCCAGGAATGTTACACCAGTCTATTCATGCAGATGAGTAATTCGAGTGCGTGTGTGTGTCGTTTGCAAGCGATTCGATAGATACCAAGCTTTCGGATAAGCGTAGAGCAAAAGCGATTGTTTGAAGGTTGGGGCCTATCGATAGGTTTATGGGTCAGCCATCCATCTTCCCATTGTGAGTCCCACCACTTTGCTAAATTACTTGCAGAAGAAATCAGATGCAGCAATGCCCACAAAGCCGAAAAGAAACAAAAGCCATGCACACTATACAAAAGTACTACGTGTTAACCTATCTCCCATGAAGAGCAATCATCATCTTTGACACATACCAGAATGATCAATATCATAGGTCTTGCTGCACCAGACGCGCAATAATACCACCGTATATAGTCGATCATTCCCGGTGTAACACCTTGGCAATGTTCAAGTACAAATGCACACTGGTCCTCGTGTAAATTAACAGCATCGCATTGAAGAAGGGTGTCGTCTATGCCAGGCTCGTCAACCGGTGCCGATCGTTTGCCCAACAAGTGTGCTGATGGAGTGGAATGCGCATTTTGCCAAGCCCAAGAAGTTGTTTTGACAATGAAGAATAAAGAGACAAGTAACACTGCCTGTCGACCCAAGGCCATGGGAAGTATGAGTAGAATGGGGGGCGAGAGAGAGAAAGAGTGAAGAGAGAGAGAGTCTTATTCGTGTGGCAAGCAAAAGACGACGATCCCCCATTTTAGTTCACCACCATCACCGCCGCCATGAACCCACCCAATCAAAATACATGAAAATCATGTTGCAGCTTTACAACCGTTACAAGCATGAATTTGATATTGCATGGCAACAATGTGGGATAGGTTTCTTTATTGGGTTGATCGATCATTACTGTGGAAGGGCCTTACGTGTGAGTGTGTGTGCGCGCAGAATGAGGTATTGTAGATGGGAAAGGTTTGAGCATGCTGTTGCTAGCACAATGACAATATCGAATAAAGGGGTGGTCAAAGAAAGAAAAGAGAGAGAGAAAGAAAGAAAGAAAAGAAAAGAAAAAAAAGGGAATTCACGAGATATTGGACAAGATGTATTTAGGTGTCTTAACAAGCACATCCATTGGGATTAGCAGGTCGGTTCAAGTCGACGCCACCACGAGCATTCAAACCTCGGTTCCGGCCACGTGTACTATCTGCAAGTTGATCCAACGGCATGCGTTTGGCTATAAAAAAGGTCAATTACCATCTCTCGCATTGATCCCTTTTTTATATATACCTATGGCGGTGAAAAGCTCGTGAACGTTCTGAGCGGTCTTGGCGGATGTCTCCATAAACAAAAGTCCAAGTTCATCAGCATATTCTTGTGCCTCCTATAATCACAAAAAGTCTCATCAGCCTGGGATGTCGTGTATGTGTTTCATAAATATATGTATGTATACCTCCGTCTTGATGGCTCGTCGACTTTCCAAATCACACTTGTTACCAGCCAAAGCAATGACAATATTGGGATCGGCTTGACGTTGAAGTTCATTCACCCATGCCTTGGCCTTTTCCAATGAAGACTACAATATCCCACACACACATACACCTGATGAGTTGACAAAGTGGGACTCTTTCTCTCTTTGACACGATGACTTACGGCTTGTGTGATATCATAGACAACGACTGCACAGTTTGCATTACGATAGTACATGGGAGCCAAACTCTGTAAAAGCCATGTGTTAGCATGATAATCTCGTGACATGAATATTTGGCGGGAATTACCTTGTAACGTTCTTGGCCCGCCGTGTCCCTAGATAACCCCCCTCCTCGTCAGCATACGATGGTGTATATATATAAAGTGGGCATCCTTACCAAATCTCGAACTTTACAGTTGTATTGTCATCCAACGAAATAGTTTGTGCCAAAAATGCAGCTAAGATACATCGTGTATGAGAAAAAGAGCCATTGATAACGCATGTATACCACTTTTTGCATACCTCCAATAGTACTTTCTCTGTATTCGTCGAAATGGTCCTTGACAAATCGCATCACCAGACTAAACGAGTGTCCATTATGAGTCGAATGAATGAATGCCCTATACAATAAGAAATACCTTGACTTGCCAACAGCAGATTCGCCTATATGAAATAAAAGAGCCAAGAGTCAGGGACTTTTTGTGTGCGTGTGTGTGTGTGTGTGTGCCAAGAAGGGAAAAAAAGAGAGAGAGATGGCGAGATGCGACCATTGTGTTTTACTTGCCTAAAAGTACGAGTTTGAACTGGTATGTCTGTGGAGCTTGTTGTGGGGATGGTCTAGTAGCCATGTTGGTCGATGAGTGTAGGAGAAAAAAGTAGGGTAGTAGAGAGTAAAGAACACAGCGTGATAGCGGATGTCTGCTGCCGCTGCTGCTGCTGTGCTGGATACAGCGCTTGTGTCACCTCAATCAACGTCATCCTATGCTACTAGCTGGTGGTGGAGGCCATTCGGAGTTGCTGTTGCCTACCACTACAACCACCATCCACCACCACCCGTTGTTGTATGTTTGTTGCAAATCCAACCACATTTTAAACAGAAAGGGAGAACACTGAGCCATACAGCACAACATGACATGATGGCAGAAATTGACTTGCATAGCATCTCCTTGTCTTTTATCCTACTACGCTCACATCCATTCACCTTGGAGGATAATAATAATAATAATAATGATCAAAAAAATGTACCATGACCTCCACCACCACCGTCAGCGTCTGTGCACGATCCTATTGCACACACATACTCTCCCTCTCTTACACGCGACATATCACGGGGGAAACAAAATCATCTGGGTCTTTATCATTTCTACTCTTTGCTTTCCAGCATATGATCTTTCACCATCAACGAGGTTGACTTGCTCCAAAAAGAGCAGGGTCCACGATCATGGTTTCTTATCTTTTAATGATGATGCATAGAGTTCCCGATTGAACGCTCGATAACACCCTGCATTTTTCTCGGGAGCTCTACAAAGCTTAATCCAATGTAAAGATCGCATGTTTTTGGGGATCGCTCGATGGCCGATAATGCGATCATGGAACAAGCAAGTTGAAAGTACAAGTAGTAGTGGTAGTAGGGAACAACACGCAAGATCTCAGCCAACAAGCAACACATACATTCGTATTTGCATGCGTTTTAATTGATTAGATATGCGTAGTCAAAATGATAATATCACGGAAGCAAAGCATGGGAGGCCGTTAGAAAGTCAACCAACAATAAAGAAAAGAGAGAGAGTACAAGTACTATAGAGAGCCCTGCGGTGTTTATGTCCGTCAACCGAATATAAAGTTTTGCTGGGCTGCATAAATCTATTATCACAGCAGCAGCTAGTCGATCAAAATCAAGGAGGTTCAATTATAGAGTATGCTTGTTTCCACATACCACATGCCCACCAACAACAATGTCCTTTCCTCTTCTTCAATATATGTATCAACAATGACTAGTGCCATAGTAGGGTATTAAAAGCCGCATTTGTGTATCCTATTATGATATTGAAACAAGGGTTGTGTGCAAAAAGGATAATGACACGGAGAACGGGAGATGGTATCAGCATGGCAAGATCATCATCAAAACCATGTGTTGGTGAAAAATGCAAATGCTGGGGCACCCAATCTTTTTCAGGGATCAGGGGAACAGAAGACAAGTCAATCTATAAACTGCATAGGAGGTTTAGAGCACATGCATGTTTGTCTATGATTCGCCTTGTAAAGAAACAACAAGGGAAAAAAAAGGGTATGCCTATTAGAAGGATTGCATCAAGTGCAAGGCTTTTACATTTTTGGAGTCCTTGTTGCGAGGCAAGTACGATGATTCAAAGGTTGGCTCATGGTTATATGAAGAATTGCATTTCACGCTTGTACCTGAATAAGGTGTAAAAAGATGCATTCTGGATGGGGTGCACAGACCGGCCCAGACGCAACATTGATAGACGCGTCATGTGGCAAAATGACATGGTGGATCACCGATGTATGTATGCTGCTGCTGCAAATAGCCCAAGTCAAACTATTTCAATATGCAAGCTACGGCGTTATTGACAGCCCATGATTGCAATGTGCCTAGCACATGTCTTTTTTTCCTTACCTCCTCCTCAACACATCATCATTGCGTGATGATGGTAATAAATAAACAACGAGTCCATTTTGATCTCTTGACATGCAAAAATATGCAATGCATGCAGCCACGTTTTCTCAATGTTGAAGGAATTGCTTATCCTGCCGAAAAGAATCTGCATTGTGGACGTATATGTAGTATCTCCCTTTTCTTCTTCATCATCATCGCTCTTGACATATAAAAAGGCAACCTATTCTCAGCCTTGTGGAAAGCATTGTTGACTTTTCGATCGATCGATCTATCTTTACTACTATGCGTTCACCTCATTTGGCTGCTTTATCTGTTATTGATGCACAAGGTAGACATGTTAGTCTTCTCAACGACATTCCTGAACCCATCCACCACCATTCATACGCAACCATCCATGTTGGAAAGCGTCGTTACCATTGCAACAACCCTGGATGCAATAAGAGCTTCACCACAAGGTAAGATCCAAATTTGGATAAAAGCTAAATGATCTCTTATCGGTATTATGCCAAGTAGTAGTCATCTTTCACGACACAAGCGTATCCACACAGGCGAGAGAAACTTCCATTGCTTGTATCCAGGTTGTCCTTCCCGGTTCTCTCGGCAAGATAACATGATGCAACATTACCGCACTCATATGGCACCAAGATCACGTCGGAAACAACATCATCCATATCCATACCCTTCATCATCTCCGGAATCCACCAGCAGCATTCACACGAGGGGAACTACCATTCACAAAATGATCATGGCCCCTGTACCTTTAAAACATGCATTTATTTGTTCGGATGCATTATATACGGTTTATCGGCCATGTAGTCCTCCTTTACCATCACCACCCTTGTCGCCACCACCACCATCACTTTATCGGAATAGCAGCCTATTTTCTGCTACACCACCACCACGTACATTAGAACCAGCCATTGAATCATCACCGCTTATCCATTCACCATTGAAGCATCATCATGACAAGCACATCCCATCATCATCATCATCAAGCTTTCCTACGACATCCAATCTAGCATTACATAGGCACGCTTTAAAAAGTTTTGGTTAGGTCGTTAAGGGATCCCCTTGTGATTTTCTGCAGCTACTACTGCATTATGGCTCGTCTTTTTTTCCTTGCATCGTTATTCCATTCAATTCATGCACACGGTGTCTTACCCGTCCAAAGCCGAATCTACCTTCATCATCCCCTTTGTTTGCATTCTCATGTTTTTTATGCCATATCTATTCCCACTCATATGCCGATGTATCTCATTTCTCGGAGTGCCATGTAATGATGAGTAATGCTTTTTATCGAGTTGATGAATGCAAAAAAAAGTAAAACAAAATGCGTCATTTTTGGGATCTAATCTGTACGTTGCTTCTTTTGAGGACGACCATGTCCGCCACCACGACCACCACCACGACCACCACGGCCACGGCCACCACCGCGGCCACCCTTGAATCCACGCTCACGCTTTTGCTGGAAGGATTTCTTCATGACTTCACGAGCTTCCACTACAACACACAATACGATATGAATAAACCCCATTCATCCCATCCCCATATCGCAAACTTACTATCAGCCAACTTGAACGTTAAGCCCTCTAACTTGCGCTCGGGTCCAAGCAACTCAAGGAATGCATCTGGGGTCATTTCCTTCAACTCAAGTACACCCGTGCCTGGTTCAGAGAGCTTTTCAACAGTGCCAACAGGTGTCTTTTTCGAGATCAATTCCTAAATGATCATAAAAATGGGATCAGAGGGCTTGGTTGGAGAAAAAAAAAGGTCATCCCTACTTACCCTAATGTCTCTAAAGCCCATATCACCCGCTCCTTCATATTGGATCATAAAGTTGTTTCTCCTCTTCTTATCATTTGAATGTTGGAAATCGACGCCTTGGAACTTTTCCTTGGCCTTCATATCAATGTAGTCTTGCCTATATGAAAAAGGGATAGATAAGTATCCACCCATCCTAGCTATGGGGGGGGGCGATTTTCAACAACCTACTTTAACATCATGGTCAATGGTTGGCCCTCGTATTCTAATTTCTTTTCGAGAACTTCCTTGACGGTATCAGGGCTATCGAATTCCACAAAGACGCTGCCCTAAGATTCTGTATAAGAGCCGTTTCCCCTCTCAATGATATGATAGGTGTGTTTTACAACCTACCTTGAACTTTTTATCGTCATCCTTTCGCATCTTGAGTGTCAATACACGACCTTGTTCCTTGAAAAAGTTGGACAATGCAGTATAACCGGATTCATCGAGCGATTCAGGAAATCCTTTCTATTCGGGACCATCTTCCATGAATATCTCTCCCATCCCTAAAACCCGCATCTTTTTGTTTCCTTACAGCATAAATGGAACGTAAATTCTGTTGACGCCAATAGTCCAACACCTTTTCATCGGGCTTGGAAGCCCCTTCATTCTCTTTGTCGGTCTCGGCCACTTCATCTTGAGCACCGGGCACTTTACGAAGCTTGGTCTTGTCCTCGTTGACTTCAAAACGACCATTGGATTGTTCAGCAGCTTGGATCAACAAGTCGATATTGCCTTGGACAAGGCCTTTGAATTGCTTGATAACGCTAAACCTTTTCAGGCTGACCCCTACACTCAAAAGTCAGCTTCCTACAACAACATGGGACGATCAAAGACAGAACTTGCAATGCTCAGGATCTTGCTCGGTCATTTCCTTGAAGAAGGCATTCTTGGCGAGATTCTCCTTGGAGTAAATGGAATCCAATTGCTCGAGGATTTGGAGTTCAATAGGCTTGTCAGACATGAAAAGAGAAACAAAGAAACAAAGAGTTGCCAACAAACGCGCCCGCACCCCGATACTTGCATTGAAGGGTAAAAAAAAAATCTTGCATTTTTGTTGTCAGTCGGTGTGTGTAACCATGGCATCAAATGCTATGTACCCTTCCAAAATGGATGTGTGTCTTTATTTGCTTAGAAACTTCAGCTACTAATTGCATCGAATAGAAGAGATCAACCTTGATGAGTGAGATGAGGAGAAAGGAGGAGGGGAACGAATGGTTCAATTTGCTTGTAATCACGACCAAGCTCTTGTGTTTTGTGTCTTACTCTTCTCTCTCGCTCTCTCTTGTTCACGCTAGTCCGTGTGTTATGTATATACATGTGAAACACACATACACACACAAAAAGCTGTTCTCTTGTTTATCGCCGTCTGGTGTTGGTGCTTGGATTACCACTACTACTAATAGTACTCCCTTTGTTAGTATCAATGTCTCTCATCCAAGTTGTCATTTTTTTTCAACTTACGTTGGTCCTGATGTATAGGCATGGCCACCACCACCGCCCATGTGAAGTACTTTGCGTCCTCTGAAGTTGCCACGTAAACGTTGCCGTTCTTCCAATGCCGCTTGACGTGCTGCAGCTTCTTCTCGTTCTTCATAATTGAGCACCAACTTTTTCAATTGCTGTTGTTCCTCGCGCTCAGCTTCTTGCTTGCTACGTGTTGTCACAGCCAATACTGAATCAGATGGCACTTCCATGGTGCGTGCTTGTTGTCGATTGCCCTTTTTGGTCAACAATGTAAATGCCATCTTGTCCTGTGGTACATCCTTTTCTTGAGCAGCAGCTGTACGGCGATCCTGAGCACCACGTAGATTCATAGGAATTGGCACATCCAATACGGCAGACTTCTTTTCAAACTTGCGTGATTCCAAACTCTCACTCATCATGCGACTAAATTCACGCTCAAATTCTTCCTCTTCTTCCTTGGAGATTTGCTGTGTCTTGCGTACAACCACATCTTCCTCAGGTTCACCCATAGCACCATTCTTCTCAGTCTATACAGGGTGATTGTGAGATATTCGTTTTACTAGATCATAGGCTCATTGGACTTACCTCATCAGCACTCTCTTCCTCATCCTCTTCCTTTTCCTCATCCACGTTCTCTTCTTCCTCTGCCTCATCACTCGTTGATTCAGACTCGCTTTCGAAACCATCTTCTTGAACCTTGCCATCCGTGCCTAAATCCACTCCTCATTAATATACACGAATCAATAAACCATTTTCCTCAATATATATACCTTGCACGGATTTGAGTTGTTCCAATAACATGCGATCCACAGCTTCATTGGCCTCTTCATATGAAGCAAGAATGTGCATTTGAGGCCGAAGCATTTCAAAGGTATCGCTCACCATAAAGTCGACATCCATGGGAGGTTTGGCCTTGGTAAAGATATACATCTACAATAGCAGCAAGTATAAGTTACCTATCACCATCATGCATTCATCAAGCTTACCTGGAAAAAGACCAAAAAGTTGTCTAATTTACGCTTCGAGCTACCGCGATCAAAGCACATGCCACAAGTGTCGAGGAGCGTGCAACACAAGCGAATGCGGAAAAAGTCATTGGGTGCATCAATAGAACAGAACCGTTCCCGAGCAGGTCGACCAAATTCTATGATCCATTGTTCAATATATATATCTCCACTTGGCGTTTGTTTCTTTTTGTTTCTTACCATGGCCAAAAGTGATGATGGTATACAAGGTGTCGAAAATCAAAGGGGAATCAATCATGCGATAATTGTAAAGTTCGCCAAGGTACTTGACTACAGCAATACGACGCTGGTTATGCTTGAAGATGTTTTGCTATACATATGGAATATAAGTATCCACATTGACAGGCTGTATTTTTTTCTTACCTCCAAACCCGCTCGAATTTCTTCAATGACACCGTCCACCACTTGGACACCAAAATCGGAATGGTATCGATGCAAACCACTGGCCAAAATGGCAAGCAAATGGATATTGCTGTACTTGACCTTCCACACCTTTTGGAAGACCTTGACCATCAACTTGAAGATACTGGCATCCTCCCAATGAAGCTTGCGCAATTGTTTGAGAATCTTGTCCAAAGATTTCTTTGTCAAATCGCCGTAAATCAACTTTCGGATATACAACTCCATAGGTGAACGCTCCTTTTCCACAATGGCGGATCGTTCAGGAGGATTGGCTTGGTAATAAGCATTCTCAATCATCAAGGCTTGGCGGTTGTCGAGATGCTGCACGTTCTTTTTTCGCATCACAACATCCAACTAATGTAGATACGATATGAGTAACATGTACTACCACCCTCAATGATCTACGAACTTACCATGTTGCTCATGCGTACACCCGTATCGGCAGACTTTAACAAGAAACGACCACACGTCTCGAGCAAATTGCAAACGATATCAATGTTTTGATTCGTAAAGTCATCCAAGGCAACCTTGAACACGTGGAAAATGGTATGTGCTGGTGTCACGCGAAACTTGGTCAACTCGCCCAAAAACCGGATATTCTATACAAGACATTAATACATTGCTCTCAAAGGATGATGCATGCATACACACCTTAACACGTGATTCAAGCAAGTCTTGTGTCTTTTTTCTTTGCAAGCCCTTGAATTCATGGTCCAGCTATCAAAAAGTCAGCATGCATTGATTCCCTATCCTTTTCGGTTCACTTACAGCTGCTAGCACCGTGTCACTGATATCAGTAAAGTAGCGGCTCAAGATGGCAATAAAGCGAGCATAGTAAGGCAAGAGATCGACACGTTGTCGTGGCACACTTAGCAACGCCTAAATGATCCATGATGAATAACCTATCTCGGTAATGTACTAGAAGGGTATCTTACCTTGACCAACCGCTTACGAGCAGCTTTAGAATTGATGTAGCAAAATTCAACAGCAGCCGCATCGATCAAATCGCGATTACCAAGAGTGGGTAGACGTGCAAGCAAAGCATCAAGTTGTGCCAATTGGGTAGGCTTAGCAGGTGCAGCATTGGTATCGTCATCTTCATCCACAGTCCTAATCCACCCTCGTCAATATATATAACCCCTTGATATTGAAAAAGAGTACTTACTTTAGGGCATTTTCCATCAACTCGGAAGGATCCACATCCGGCTCATCATTATCATCGGCTGGTGTTTGAGGGGCTGGTGGAGATGGTGCTTCCTGTTGTTCCTCATTGACCTTTTCCTCCGTTTCTGGAGCAGCTGGTGTCTCATTGTCAACTTGTTTTTGTTCAGTCTCCTCTTCCTCTTTGGATTCATCGGCCTTTTTAGGTGGATTTGATTCCAAAAAGACACCAGGAACAAGGACTTGAAGGTCCGGAAGATCCTCATAAAACTTGCGTGCATCCTCATCTTCCCAAATCCCACTTGCCAACATATCCTACATGTCACATGAATAACTCGATCATCCCCTTATGTGACAATTTTTACCTTTGCATCTGCAAATGCATGTGCTGAACCTGCACTGACAATGGATACGCGTGTGACACCTTCATCCTCTGGCAATTCAGGCATTTCCAAGTCCAAAGCATCAGCCAACCTTTTAATCAACATTAGCTTCCCAATAAGGTTCATCCATATCGATCCATTGACTCACGTTTGCGTATTGTTCAACAACTTTTCATACACCTTGGTCATCTTTTCATGATTCTGCTTGGTTTCTTCTGAAAGCTCTCCACGCGTAAACAACGTCTCACGATTGCGGCTGTCAAGGCGTTTGATATGTTTGTGCTCCTTGACAAGGTGCTTCTCCACACTGTGATAATAGTCAACAAACAATCGCTTGAGTGCAGCACGTTGTTCTGGTGTCACGTATTCACTGCCTTCAGTCGTACTGCTTCCTGCTGTCACGGGTGTTGCTGCTTCAGGCTGTTGTTGTTGTTGTTGTGATGATTCATTTTCCTCATCCTCCTCTTTTTGTTGTTGTTGAGCAGCACGCTGCTTTCTAGAAGTGATGCCGAGTACTTCTTGGCCATAATTCTTCAAAAAGGAAGCTGCCAATGGAAGGTTGACATGTTGATCCATATCCGTCAATAACTATAAAACGAGGTATCAATTACCCAATGCTAAGATACATCCATGTACAATACATACCAAGCCCTTCAAGATAGTGTACACAAAGTTTTCTTGACCACTAGGCTGTTTTTCAGATTCTTTCTTTTGGGGACGTTTGGAGGATGATGAAGATGAACCCACAAAGCCAGCGACGCCATCACCTTGAGACTCGACACCTTCCAAATTGGTGGATGCCAACGAGGATACACCATCCTGCACGTTACGGATCACACCCGCCAACCACAATTCAACAATGATGCGTAGATAGGTGCGTTGTCTTGAAATGCGAGTCGATTCTTCCTTATCACGTTGTTCCTGGGGCAAAGATGCCAAATGTTGCTTTGAAGGAGGTTGCATGGCTCTCGCAAGGTGATGTGTCAATAAGAGGGTGAATGTATCAGGAAATCGTTGATGAAGGGCGGAAACGACCTACGATAATGATGATGAGCATAGGGATGTTGGTTGGTTGCCACGACAACGACGACCTACCTCGACACATGCTGCCGCGTCTGCACTCGACTTGCACTTGAGCATACCATCCAATACACCACCTACGACCTCGGAAATATACTTTTCAAGGCTCAACTTTTTGATATCATTCAAGAGCTGCTGCGTCGAATCGGCTGCAAGGGATGCTTTGCACTTTTTGATGAAGGCTGTATTCTTTTTAATGTTGCTGTCGAGATTCTTGTACTGCGACGGATCTAGTCAACATGTCAGCGAGACCGTTTGTTGCGTTTCAAGCAAGGCATGACAATGCGTACCGCTTTTGCCTCGCTCCCATGCCAATCGATTGGCTTCTCGGAGATCCGATTTGGTAGGCATGGCTGAAAGAGATGTGTGAACAAGGTGATATATGTGTGCCCAGCTTCCGCCGGTCACTCAAGTATCTTGGTTTTGGCACAGACTTGATGCCGCCCCACATCCAGCAAGATCACATGCTGCCTTTGGATGGATAGCAACCCTATCCTTCATTATCGACCTCAATCGACCCTTACCGCACATGAGCCCCTAGATGGAGTGACATAGTAAATTCGATGGCTTTGAGTCCATGCACATACACGTTCCTTTAATAAAGGCAAGGAAGAAACCATACATTGGCTGGCATCATATAGAGAACTCCTCGAGATTTCTTTTGACAACTTTGAGCACCTTATCAACAAAGCATAGACACAACCCGTAGTCATGATTACAAATTTAATAAAGCCATAGTTCGTATGAGCATGGTCTATAGCTGCTACGTTCCTTTGTTTGTAATACAAAGAGCACATTGACGACTGTGGCAATTCAAAAGCTGCTGTATCGTATGCCTTCATAGATAATGGGTACAATTTGCTTGGATTAGCAATCAAAAAAGATTCTAGCTTCATATAGGGTCATTGTTCTACCTTTCTATGATACGCATGTATGTGATCGATATATAGGCAAAGGGACTTCCTCATTGTAAATCCCGATTTTTGGATGATGGACCAAACGCCCCGATTTCTGTATCGATCTTGAACCCATTAGTGCCTATCTTGCTACAAGCAAGACCGCTTACATACATAGATCTGTCACACCTAAAAAGTGGAGAATAAAAAATCTACGGATGACCAAAATTCCCCGGGCCACTTGGATATTTAGGGCATCTCGTGTGAATAAGGCACCACCTTCTTTGTTTCTCTCTTCTTTTCTTTGTTCACAATGGCTCTCAACAAGGTTTACAAGCTGTAAGTGTGTGTACCTCTTGTTCTTGAATGACTCGATGACTAAAAGAGTTGCTCTATGCAGCAACACCGGTGCATCGATCCCCGCTATTGGTAAGTCGGCTCTTGTTTTCGTTCATCGGCCTGTGCTTTATTATGCATAAGGTATTGATTTGGCATAATCTAGGTCTCGGCACCTGGCAGGCACCTGGTGAAGAAGTTTATGCTGCAGTCAAAACTGCAATTCAAGCTGGCTATCGCCACATTGACACTGCATTTGGCGTAAGTATGATTGTTGTTTGTTGTTTACCCCTGAAGCAACCTCTCTTGTAAGAGAGTGGGGTGTATACATTCATGTACTCATCATCATTAAAGTATGGCAATGAAGAAGATGTGGGACGTGGTATTCGTGATGCTTGTGCCGAGTTGGGATTGGATCGCAAGGACATCTTTGTCACCACCAAATTGTGGCCCACCTTTTTCCGTACCGACAGGGTTGCCGAAGGTTTCCAAATCTCATTTGATAAGCTCAACATTGGATACATTGATTTATACTTGGCTCATTGGTAAGCTGTGATGGTGATGGATGAATGGATGGAAGATTGAACAAGGACTCACGCACACATAATACTCAAGGCCTGTTGCTTTGAATCCCGAACCTGGTGTCGCCATTCCTCGTCGTGCTGATGGTACGCGCGATCTCGATAATGTCAAACCTTCTGAAACATGGGCAGCCATGGAAAAGCTACTTGATACTGGCAAAGTCAAGGCCATTGGTGTGTCCAATTATTCCATTCCCATTTTGGAAGAGCTCTTAAAGACTGCCAAGGTTGTTCCTGCTGTGAATCAGATTGAGTTGCATCGTAAGTGGATCATGATGTTAAAAGGAACCATGGGGTCACTCATATATGGGTTCTTTGTGTAGCCTACCTTCCTCAACAGAAATTGCTTGACTACTGCGCCTCCAAGGGTATCCATTGTACTGCTTACTCCCCATTGGGATCCGTTAATTCGACTTTGTTGCAGGATGAAACGATCAATAAGATTGCTGCTGCTCGTAACAAGTCTCCTGCCCAAATCATTCTCTCATGGGGTTATACCCGCTCAAGTGTGTTGCCAAAGAGTGTCAAGGCTGAAGTAAGTTGATTTCCACCCCCCCCCCCCACCACTACCCATCCCAACATACAATGACATTAATGATATCTTTAATAGCGTGTCAAGGCAAATGCTGATTTGATTGATTTGACCAAAGAAGAGATGGATCAAATCAATGATCTTCACAAGACACATGGCAAACGCTTTATCACGCCTGATTGGGGAACCAAGGTTTTTGATGAAGAATTTGAAGAATAAACATTCTTTATTGTTGTTGTAAACTAGTCATTTGTACACACGTAAAAGAGAAAAAGATAAGAAGACAAAGAGCCGATTCATGATCCGCAATTGTTGTCAACGACCAGATTGTCGTCAGTGGGGTTTTCTTGTGTGAGCTTTGTTCCCGACTTGTACTTATTTTCCACCTCTTTTTCCTTTTCTCCCAAGAACCTCCTTTCAGCTCATCCCTTCAACTGCAATCTTTAATGACGATGGATACATCTGCTCCGCTTGCCAGAGTGCGTTCTAATCGTGCCATGATTTCAGCCGTGCGACATGGGAGCGATTGCATGCAAGAAACCGGAGGGGAGGATCCCCAAGAAGAGTCTCCACGCCCTACTCCACGTATAAGAACTATTGTCAAGGACTCAACAGAGGATTATCCTCGCGATACAAAGGAGGAGGAGCAGAATGAAGAGGATAAGAAATCAGCATCATCACCAACGTCATCCACAGTTGTCAACCAAGACCAGCAAAAACGACGTATTGATCAGTCATCTACTACTACTATGCACCTATCTAAAGCGGCGTCGTCGTCGTCATCATCAACGTTTCCACGGCCACCGTCTCCAGTAGAAACCATAGTAGCGTTGCCAAGCCCACGTCGTCCTAGCAAAGTTCGAAAGATGGATGATGACGAAGATATCAGCAATAGCAATAGCAGCAGCAATAGCACTCAACTGATTTGGCCACAACGTGTATCGACTCAGCAACAAGCCCCAAAGTTACTTCGTAAACGCACCACACGTCGACGTACAGAGACATCTTACGATGAAGATACCACCACCTATCTCAAGCGTGTTTTCTTTGAAGTGTATGGTCAAGGTCGAAAGCTTAGCAAGCATGAACGTCGTCGGATTGAACAAGACACAGGCCTCATGTCCCGCAAAATCACTTACTGGTTCTCAAACCAAAAACGCCGCTTCAGTGCAGAACTCAAAGCGTTTCAACGCTTATCACGTCAAGGATGTATCAAGACTTATGATGAATTTCTTATTTGGTGCGAAGAGAATTATGTTCCAGAACTTGGATCCATGCCACAACACCAATTTGAAGAAGATGAAATCGAAGAAGATGATAATGACAACAATCATCATCAGCAGCAGCAGCCATCACGTAGCCCATCCACACCTCCGCCACAACGACAACAATCACCACAACCACCACAATCATTATCGGCACCATCACAACAACAATCCACTTCTACCGCATCATCCTCTTCTACTACTTCTTCCCATTGAAATCCATTACCACACTTGTTTGTAGCGTTACCCAATCTGATCCCACCTTATTGATGATTGAATTCTTCACTCACATTCTCTTTCCTACTTTATCCCCAAATGCATATGCTCCCAACAATCAGCGTTACTCTTTCTTTTTTCTTCTTCACTTTCAGTCAAAACCTCTTGTCTTGTTTACACACTCGAATAAATCGCATCATCTATCGCATCATTCCGGTTCATGACAAGATTGCATGTTGTCAGCTTGTGTATGTGTATGTGTGTGACAATGGTTTGTTGCATAATTTCCCACAGCCCATTTTTCTTTATTTACAAGGTAGACTTGTTATTATCATACTTTTCCATCACCTTATTGTTTCTGATACGATCAATAAAGTTGATCTCATCACCGGCGCTTGTATGACTGCCTGGTTTATGAAGGCATTCCTTATCCATCAAATCAGCAAAGTGGCAATTGAAGCCAAGTCTGGGGTATTTCTTGACAATGGCATCGATGGTATCAGCATGATACAATTCAGGATTGCGACCAATCACATCAATGGTGGTGCCCATTTGAATGAGTTGACCCACTTTACGAATCTGGCCTGGCACGAAATCCGTGTGCCGGATAATGGCTTCGGCCACTTCATCCGCTTGTAATTGTGACGCACCAAATTCAACCAATTTTTCTCTTGCATGAATGCCGCCCCAGAATTCAAAGGATAAGGAGGTACTGAGATGATAGCGAGGAGCAACACCAATGTCATGAAACAATGCCGTCAAGTAGTACGTATCCAAATCTACCTTCCAGTCGGGAAACTGATCCGTGGCAACAACAGCTCCCAAGTAATAGGCTCGGTTCGAATGATTCCACATTGTGGCATCAAGCTCCTTATGCGTGTACTCGGCTGTCTTGATAGCAACCTCGGTGTTGGGAACAGGAATCGATGCAATATCAATAGGATTAGGTGGATGGAAGCCGTGTGATCGAAGCATGCGATCCACATCACGCTCCACAGCTATGTATCATTGATCGATGAGTTTTACTCTCCCAAGGTTCTTCATTCTGGTAGTAGTAGTACCTGAATCAGCCAATGCTCTTTGAAGTTCGGATGCCATTTGTTTTGGTAGACAAAGGAAAAAAAGCTAAGAGAAAAAAGAACGCTTTATATAGGTGATGGGGTCGAGAAGTTCAAGAAGATTACTAATCTGGGGTTAAGGCGGTTTGGTATATTTGATCTATTCCCGAATTGTCGGTCTCCACACTCTCCCCTCGCGTTGGTAAGAACATCGGGCTGCATGACAAAGCATGAAGACAAGTACATTCATTGGCTCATTTTGTCGCACTTGAAACGGAAGAATAGGTTTGCCGGAGTCAACATACAACAGCGACCAAACTCCCCTGGTCGAGGTGAGTCATAGCTTGTTGAAATTGGACATGGGATACGTAATGAAAGGATTCATATACTTTGGTGGAGTAGGTATCCGTTTTTACTGTACCCAGTCAGAGCTATGACGATATCCTTATGCCCCACACACCCATTTTGGGGAAGGTTGGACTTGAGCTTAGAATTGAAACCCCCTTCCTCCAGAAAGCCAGCTCTTTCTTATGCTTCTTCCCACAATTACAACCACGACTACATCCAACGCATACTCCAATTACGACAACACACATTACAGAGCTCGACATTGACTGGCAAACGACTTTCGATAGCAAAAGGTCTTTTATTGTCAACCCAAGATCACCACTCACAATGGACCTCCTCCTTGACAAATGCCAACACAAGTTTACGCGTCGAGTACGTTAGCAGCACTTTTGAACAACCATAGGCCTTACGTTAAACAACATGTGGCTCGTCGTTTATTGCGTGTGGAGGTGCTTTCTTTTGTCGCAACCTACTCTTCTTCCTTTCGTCTCCACCAAGTTGTACCTTTCCCGTTGGCCTCAGTTAAACAATGCCATCCCAATTGCCAAAGCTGTTCACTGCTAGGACGCCTGTATTATCGACTATCAACCATGGCTTTTTGTCGCAAGCAGCCTTCTGCACTGCTATGTTTGCTCTCTTTCTAACTATCCCTGCAACCTACGAAGACCATTGCCAAGCAACAGCCCAATGCCAGGATGATGAAGGAAATAGAAAACATGAGCTTGGATTATGAGGTAAGACTGTTGATGGAAAGGTAAAATGGATCAGTGCAATGGTACTAATATTGCGCATGCCCCTTTTTTTACTTCTAGTACATCCCGGTGCGTATGACGATTGTGTACAAGCAATGATGATGAAGAAAATGGGACACACGAGATTGGATTATAGGGTAAGGTTGTGGATGGACGGATCATGACAACGGTTCTTATGTTGTATGGGCCCCTTTTTATATGCATGCCAATTTCAAGCACTATTGCCACGCAACAAGACATTGCCAGGGTGATGGAGAAAATGGTAAGGTTGTGAATGGATAAAGAATCGTTGCATGTGGATAGGTATCCCAGTAGTAGTCCCTAGGATACTTTTATGCATTTGTGAGCGAATAAAGAACATGCGTCTGTATCAAACGTCCAAACCAGCTTGCCTTCTTAATGCACTTTTTAAGATTGTGGATCAATACATTCGGAAAGAATTCCGCCACCCGATCTCTAACACCTGCAAACCTCTTGTGGCACCTTATGAAATATCAAAGAACTGCCTTTCTACGTGCCTCTTATTACATTTCTTCCTCTTCTCTACATTGGGATAGCAAAATTTCTTTCCTTTGCCTTCCCCTATGGCAACCGTAATATGCCCCTTTACACGTAAGCTTTACTTTTCAATAAGAGAGTGGGCTGACAAGATTATCGCCTTGCATGGTGACACGACATGTATGTGGTACATAAATAGCCAACAGAGCATGGATTCTCAATCTCTTCAACCCTTTCTCTTTTTATATTATCAATATGACAAGCGATACGGATGACGACAATGATACCATCAAAGTATACAAGCCCAGAATACATCCATGCTGCATTTAGGATCTTACTTATGACTACCTCCTCTTTAGCTAGAGATTAGCAAAGGCGATAACCAATTTTTCGAAAAAGGACTCGGTGCACTCTTATCCAACCCAAACTTTTTGCTTCTCTATGTGCCCGAAAATGGAGCCAAAATGCAAGTCATACGACCTACTAGTGATCCATACCATCGAAGGCGTATGATCAGAAGGATTAATGAGGCGGAGGGTATTCCATCTTTTTACTACGCGTTGTCGCATCTTTGGGGGATTACAGAAAACAACCGGCACTACTGGGACGATATCGGTGAATACGTGAATGACGAAGATGGACATCCAATGAAACCTGTTTCGATGCGACCTGAGAAACGCGATACGTTACTTGCATTGCTCAAGGACCACCTTGATAGTTATTGGTGGATCGATGTGCTGTGTGCACGTACCGAAACACCGTTGGATATAATGGGCGACATTTACGCTTGTTGCCTTGAATGCATTGCCATGATCGACTGTGAACCTGGTGTGATATCACAACTTCATCAAATGGGGGACTTTAAGAGATATCTCTATAAAAGATCTATAGTCAATTATGAACCACATGACATCGCAGCTGCCAGGCAAGATTATGAGCAATGCTACCGGTTCACAGGCCTCATGTACAGATTCATACAAAGTCGATGGTGGAAACGTGTGTGGACATGGCAAGAGATGGCTTTACCTTTTGGAGAGGTACGCCTTATGGCGGAAACAGGCACTCACAAAGCTATAAGCAGCTTGATCACCATGCGTGAATTAGTTCGCAACTATAATCGCATGTCAAGGATTATGCAGTGCGCAGAATATCACTGCTGGTGGACAAAAAGATCCGGTATGTCTCATGAGATATTTAATAATTTTTGAGGAGCACTGCTAATCTTTATTGAACAGAACGTCATAGAACTACAAAGTTCAAGAGAAAGGCAGCTCTAGAAGATTGGTATTGCGAAGTAAGGGCTGCAAGAACATACAACAGTGACCGTATCTATGAGCAGGACGTAAAGGATTGGCTTTTCAATCTATTGTGGACATGGGGCAATTGCCCTCGGCGCTGCATGGACCCTGTTGATTATGTCTATGGTGTGCTTGGAATATTCCAGTTTGAGATACCAAGAATGGACAATCCGGATGCAGTATGGAAGCTTTTCTTGTCTAAGATGGACAAACTTGTGGATGAACTTCTGGGTAGCTTTCCTGGGGACCCCAGGAGGATTAGAATCAGCGATCGTGCTTACCAACTTGATCTACGGAAAGCTAAAGACATGGCCGATGTATACAAGAACTTGTTATTAGAGTCCAATATTCGATACTCACCAGAGGAAATCGTTCAGTACGAATAACATGATTGTAAACTATTACCATCATTGCACGCGAGCCTTGTTCAATAAATAAGTGAGTGGTGTTATCTACACGCAAAGTCTCTTTTGTATGTTGATCAACCTAACGACAACTTGTCGTAGTGCCACAGAATGTAATGAAGGTACGCGCTTTTGTTGTACAACAACATGTTGCATTATCGCTTTTTATCTTGGGCAGTTTCAGTGGCCTTATTCTTCTTTTCACCTATCGCCACTCCTCCTTGTTCTCCCACATGCTTTTTCTCACAATTGCAACCACGACTGCACCCAACGCATGCTCCAATCACGACGACAGCACATTACGAAGCTCGACATTGACTGGCAAACAACTTTGGATAGCAAAAGGTCTTTTATTGTCAGCCCAGGATCACGACAAATGCCAACACAAGTTTACGTGTCAAGTACATTAGCAGCGCTTTTGAACAACCATAGACTTTACGTTAAACTACATGGCTCGTCGTTTGTCGCGTGTGGAGGTGCTTTCTTTTTGCTGCAACCTATTCTTCTTCCTTTGTTCGTCTCCACCAAGTTGTACCTTTCCAGTTGGCTCCAGTTAGCAACAGCACCTCATTGCCAAAGCGGTTCACGCCTGAAACACGTCAACAACAGCTGTAAACAACCACAAGATACTATTAGGATGCGTGTATTGTCGACTATCCACCATGGCTCTTTGTTGCAACCTGCCGTTTGCACTGCTACAATGCTTGCTCTCTTTCTCACTATGCCTGCCACCTACGAAGACCATTGCCAAGCAACAGCACAATGCCAGGATGATGGAGGAAATAGAAAACACGTGCTTGGATTATGGGGTAAGGCTGCGGATGGAAAGACTAGAATGGATCAGGGCAATGGTGGGTACTAATATTGGGCATGCCACATTTTTTACTTCTAGTACATCCTGGTGCGTATGACGATTGTGTACAAGCAATGATGATGAAGAAAATGGAACACACGAGATTGGATTATAAGGTAAGGTTGTGGATAGGTGGATCATGACAACGGTTCTTATGTTGTATGGGCCCCTTTTTTCATGTGCTGAGCACTGTTGCTACGCAACAGGACATTGTCAGGGTGATGGAGAAATGGTAAGGCTGCGGATCGATAAAGAGTTATTGCAAGTAGATAAATATCCCCATAGTAGTAGCTCCCATTACAAGCAATAAACCAAGTTGGCGTTCTTTACGCACTCTTAGATTTGTGGATCAAACGCTTTTTGAGCTACCTTCATTCCATGCTTCTTATTTCATTTGTTCTTTGTTACTGAGTGAGCAACATTCTTTTATGGTAAATGTGGCAAGCTGCTTTGCACACGATAGGGCTTAGAGGTGTATCACCTTGCGCCGTGACACAACGTAGACACGCACATTAAAAAGCCTACAGACCATGGAACCTTCAATCCCTTCACCTTTTTCTTTTTATATTCTCACTATGACAAGCGACGCTGATGGAGGCGATGATCCTATCAAAGTGTGCAAATACCGAATACGTTGATAAATCCAAACCATACTCATGAACTATCTCTGTTAGATAGAGATTAGCAAAGACAACAAGTATAAACGACTTTTCGAAAAAGGACTCGACACACTTTTATCCAACCCAAACTTTCTGCTGCTCTATGTGCCCAAAAATGGAGCCAAGATGCAAGTTATACGACCTGCACGTGATCCATGCCATCGAAGGCGCATGATTCGAAGGATTAATGAAGCGGAGGGCATTCCATCCTTTTACTACGCCTTGTCGCACCTTTGGGGGATTACAGAAGACGAATGGTACTACTGGAATGATATCGGTGAATACGTGGATGACGAAGATGGACAACCAGTAAAACCTGTTTCCATGCGACCTGAGAAACGCGATACTTTACTTGCATTGCTCAGGGACCACCCTGATAGTTATTGGTGGATCGATGTCTTGTGTGCACGTACCGATACGCCATTGGATATTATGGGCGATATCTATTCTTGTTGCCTTGAATGCATTGCCATGATCGATTGTGAACCTGGTTTAATATCACAACTTCATCCAATGGGGGTCTTTAAAAAGGAAGATTTCAACACGCATTATTTAAAGAATATCGTAGCTGCCATAAAATGCTATGATCAATGCTGCCAGCTCACCAATATCCTGTACACATTGATACAAAGTCGATGGTGGAAACGTGTGTGGACATGGCAAGAGATGGCTTTACCTTTCGGAGAGGTACGCCTTATGGCGGAAACAGGCACTCACAAACCTCTAAGCAACACGATCACTGTGGATGAATTAGTGAGCAACTATGGTGGCATGTTAGCACTTGAGAGATCTATAAAGGACCCATACGGGGATGTGTTACTATGGAGTATGTCGCATGAGATTTTAACTATCATTGAGAAGTACTGCTAATCTTTATTAATCTAGGACGTAAAGAGGCGACAGCTCAGACTGAAATGATTGTAGGAGCTTGGTGCGAGGAAACAATAGCTGCAAGAACATACAACAAGGATCGTCTCGAAGGTGGGAAGATGTATGGGAAATTTTTGTACCTACTATTGAGGACATGGGGCAAGTGCCCTCGGCGTTGCATGGACCCTGTTGATTATGTCTATGGTGTGCTTGGGATGCTCCAGATTGAGATACCAAGAATGGACAACCCGGATGCAGTATGGAAGCTTTTCTTGTCTGAGATGGATAAACTTATCGATAGCCTTAGTATGCCTCTTAGAATCAGTGATCATGCATACCATGTTGATTTACGGAAAGTTCAAGATATGACTGGTGTATACAATGATCTGTTAGGAGTCCATCGTCTAAGATGGCTAACTAGACTTATGAAAGCATTGCATCTATCAAAGCCACGAAAGCATTAATATGATTGTGATCTTTTATCATCATTACACGCGAGCTTTGTTTAAAAGAGTGGGTGGTGTTATCTACACTCAAAGTCTCTCCTGTATGTTGATCCATTTAACGACAACTTTGCAGCCGTGTCACAACACCAGGTTGCATTATTGCTTTCCATTTTGGGTAGTTGCAGTCGCCTAATTCTTGCCTCTTCTTTTCACTCTCATCGCAGCCTCTCCTTGTCTACCCACATGCTTCTTCAATTGCAAACACGACTGCACCCAACACATGCTCCGATCACGACAGCAACAATCGATGCTCGCCATTGGCCACCAAACGACTTTGGATAGCATAAAGTCTTTTATTGTCAACCCATGATCACTACTCGCAATGGACCTCCTCGACAACTGCCAACACCATTTATGTATCAGTACCTTACAGCACTTTTGAACAACCATAGCCGTTACGTTAACCATGTGGCTCATCGTTTGTCTCGTGTGGAGGTGCTTTCTTTTGCTGCAGCCTACTCTTCTTCCTTTGTTCGTGTCCACCAAGTTGTACCTTGCCAGTTGGCTCCAGTTAACAACAACATCCCATTGCCAAACCCGTTCACGCCTGAAACAAGTCAACAACAGCTGTAAAACAACCATCGAGATACTGTTAGGATGCGTGTATTGTCGACTATCCACTATGGATCTTTGTTGCAACCAGCCGTTTTCGCTTCTATAAATGCTTGCTCTCTTTCTCACTATGCCTGCCACTTACGAAGACCATTGCCAAGCAACAGCACAACACCAGGATGATGGAGGAAATAGAAACGCGTTCTTGGATTATGGGGTAAGGCTGTGGGTGGAAAGATTAGAATGGATCAGGGCAATGGTGGGTACTAATATTGGACATGCCACATTTTTTACTTCTAGTACATCCTGGAGCGTATGACGATTGCTTACAAGCAATGATGATGAAGAAAATGGAACACACGAGATTGGATTATAGGGTAAGGTTGTGGATAGGTGGATCATGACAACGGTTCTTTATGTTGTATGGGCCCCTTTTTTCATGTGCTGAGACTGTTGCTACTTTCGAGTACTATTGCCACGCAACAGAGCATTGCCAGGGTGACCGAGAAAATGGTAAGGCTGTGAATGGATAAAGAATCGTTGCACGTGGATAGGTATCCCAGCAGTAGCCCCTAGTATACTTTTATGCATTTGTCAACGAATAAAGAACATGCTTCTATATCAAATGTTCAAACCAATTGGCCTTCTTAACGCACTTTTTAAGGTTGTGGATCAACACAAACGGAAAGGATTCCGCCACCCGATCTCTAACACCTGCAACCTCTTGTGGCACTCTTTGAAGTATTAAGGACCTGCGTTCTCTACATGCCTCTTATTACAATTCTTCCTCTTCTCTATACTACTGGGATAGCAAAATTTCTTTCCTGTGCCTTTTCCCATGGGAACAGTAATATGCCCCTTGACACGAATGCTCTACTTTTTCAATAAGAATGGGCTGGCATGTTTATCGCCTTGCATGGTGACACGACATGTATGTGATACATAAAAAGCCTATAGAACATGGAACTTCAATTCCTTCAACTCTTTCTTTTTTTATACTCTCAATATGACAAGCGATACGGATGAAGGCAATGATCCCATCAAAGTATGCAAGTGCAGAATATGTCCATGCTGCATCCAGGCCCTTGCTCATGTCTACCTCTTTTCAGATAGAGATCAGCGAAGGCAGCAAGTATAAACAATTTTTCGAAAAAGGACTCGGTGCACTCTTATCCGACCCAAACTTTTTGCTTCTCTATGTGCCTGAAAATGGAGCCAAAATGCAAGTCATACGACCTGCCAGTGATTCATACCATCGAAGGCGCATGATTAGAAGGATTAATGAAGCGGAGGACATTCCGTCTTTTTACTACGCGTTGTCGCACCTTTGGGGGACTACCGAAAACGAACGGTACCACTGGAATGATATCAATGAATACGTGGATGGCGAAGATGGACAACCAGTGAAACCTGTTTCCATGCGACCTGAGAAACGCGATACATTACTTGCATTGCTCAAGGATGAACCTGATAGTTATTGGTGGATTGATGTCTTATGTTCACGTACCGATACGCCATTGGATATTATGGGCAATATCTACGCTTGTTGCCTTGAATGCGTTGCCTTGATCGACTGTGAACCTGGCCTGATATCACGAATTAATTTAATGGATGATTATGATATGTCCCATTTTGAACAGCATTGTTCAAATGACGTCGAAGCTGCCAAGCAATGCTATGACCAGTGTTGCCAGTTCATAGATTCCATGCACATATTGATACAAAGCCGGTGGTGGAGACGTGTGTGGACATGGCAAGAGATGGTTTTACCTTTAGGAGAGGTACACCTTATGGCGGAAACAGGCACTCACGAACCTTCAAGCAACACGATCACCGTGGATGACTTAACTCGAAGGTTTAACTACATTTCATACTTTACGAGATCGATAGAGGATCGATACGAGGATAATGAAGAATTCGGTATGTCTCATGGGACACTTGATCATCATTGAGGAGTACTGCTAATCTTTATTAAGCAGAACGTAAAGAGGCAGCGATACGGTTGAGATATGTGGGAGTAGAGACTTTAGAATCTTGGTATACTGATACACGTATGGCAAGATTATACGGCAAGGAACGTATCCAATTTGAGAGCGTAGAAAACTTTGCGACCCTATTGGTATCAACAATGACCCATTCCCCTCGGCGTTGCATGGATCCTGTTGACTATGTCTATGGTGTGCTTGGGTTATTTCAGATTGAGATACCAAGAATGGATGATCCGGTTGCTGTTTGGAAGCTTTTCTTATCTGAGATGGATAAACTTCTTAGCCATGAAACGTCTCTTAGAATCAGTTATCGTGCGTACGAAGTTGATCTACGGAAAGTCCCAGATACAAGTTTCGTGTACCGGCACCTAGTAGCCTATCAATGATCCGCTCATAATACAACAACAACCTTGATTTGTGCATGCGTTGCATCCACAAACACAGAAAAATTAACATGATTGTGACCTTTTATCATCGTTACTGTACATGCAAGCCTTGTTCAATAAAGTGGGTACTGTTATCTACTACATTCAAAATCTCTTTTGTATGTTAATCCATTTAACGTTGTAAGAGTGCCACAAGATGTGATAAAGACATGGGTCTTTGGTTGTACAACACCAAGTTGCATTATTGATATTGTTGAGTTAAACGCCCATTGATAAACCTAAAGGAAGCAAGCAGCAATGAAATGGCAGCAAAGCAAGCACGAGCGTAGGTGATCTTCAAGTTGATTTGCCGGGTAAAACTCAACATCTCACTTTTCTATTTTGGGTAGTTGCAGCCGCTAATGCGAATATTTTAGTAACGCGTTGCACACGAGACACATTGCAAGTGAGAAAGAGGATGGTATATATAGCAATTTCTTCACTCGGGACACGCACTCGTCTTCCTCTTCTTTCTACTTTTTTCCTCCCATCGCCACTCCTCACACCTGTCATTTCTATTCTCCCATGGCCTCATTTGCACGAAAGCCATCTTCTGGCATTGTTCCCGATCGTCATCATCCCCACACCTTGTCCACTCTTGTATGTCATGTCTCTATACACCTTATCAACCTATTTTTAACATTCATCTTTCTATATGCAGGATTTTCAAGGTGCAAGCTCTGCCGCTGCTGCCAAAGCCATGAAGTCCGAGTTGAGCAAGTTGGCTGCTCAAATCCAGGATGAAGGTGAACGCAAGGTAAAAAAAAAAGGGTCATTGGGATTTGAAACAAAGGGGATCAGCTGACCGATCTCTCTGGATTCTTCTAGTTCTTTCAACAAGAAATGGATGGATTCTACATGCTGTTTACGCGTTTCATGGATGAAAAGGCTAAGGGCACCAAGCTGTAAGCAAGATCAGGAAAAAAGAGAGGATGATGGGGGGATGATACTCACACTGTGTGTGTCTATGATAGGGATTGGGACAAGATCCAATCGCCCTCGCCTGAGCAAATTGTTGCATACAAGGAATTACCTGAATGTACCGCATCCAATGATCTCGACAAACTTGCTGTTCTCAAGTTGAATGGCGGTCTTGGAACCACGATGGGCTGTGTTGGTCCCAAATCGGCTATTGAAGTTCGTGACGGAATGACATTTTTGGACCTGAGCGTGCGTCAGATTGAGGTAAGTAAGCGAAAGAATTAGAAAGAAAAGGGGAATGTATATGGGTGAGTTGGCAAAATGTTGGGAATTGATCACATTGTTGGGTATTCTCACCCACCCCATTTTGTAGTACCTCAACAAGAGACATGATGTGAATGTTCCATTTATTTTGATGAATTCTTTCAACACGGATGAAGAGACTCGTCGCATTGTACAAAAATACGCCACCCACAACATCAACATCACCACCTTCAACCAAAGCCGTCATCCCCGTATCAACAAGGAATCACTTTTACCAGTGCCTCGTTCTCCCAACTCGGCTATCGAACAATGGTAAGTATTGGCTATTAAACCTCAGCAGCTGCATCTGTCCTTGAACTCACGCTATATATACCAGGTATCCCCCTGGTCACGGTGATTTATATGAAGCATTGTACAACTCTGGTCTCTTGGACAAGTTACTCGCTGAGGGCAAGGAATACTTGTTTGTGTCCAATGTGGACAACTTGGGTGCAACTGTGGATCTTACCATCTTGCATCATATGGTGGAAAGCGATGCTGAATTCTTGTTGGAAGTGACGGATAAAACCAAGGCTGATATCAAGGGTGGTACTTTGGTCGATTACAATGGTCATATTCGTTTGCTTGAAATTGCTCAAGTACCCAATGAGCATGTGGAGGATTTCAAGTCTGTCAAAAAGTTTAAGATTTTCAACACCAACAACCTATGGATCAACTTGAAGGCCATCAAGCGAGTATTGGAAGAGGAAGCCATGGATTTGGAAATCATTGTCAACAACAAGACCACGGATAGCGGTGAAAAGGTGATTCAATTGGAAACGGCTGTGGGTGCTGCTATCAAGCATTTCCGTAACGCTCATGGTGTCAATGTCCCTCGCACTCGTTTCTTGCCCGTCAAATCCACATCGGATCTTTTCCTCGTCACCTCCAACTTGTATTCACTCGTCCATGGCGAACTTGCCGTCAACCCCAAGCGCATGTTTAATACCGTGCCCCTCGTCAAGTTGGGTGATCACTTTAAAAAGGTCAGCCACTTTTTGTCTCGATTCAAGACCATTCCTCACATTCTGGAACTGGATCATTTGACGGTCACGGGTGATGTTACATTTGGAGCCAATGTGGAACTAAGAGGCACCGTCATCATTGTTGCCAACCATGGTGAACGTATCGATATTCCTTCAGGAGCTGTATTGGAAAATAAGGTCATTACTGGCAACCTTCGCATTTTGGATCATTAAAAAGCACTCGCATCATTTTTTTACAACATTATATACGTAAAAGGTTTAGGAAGGGGGGTTGTCGGGGCGATCATATTATAGTACCATGTTACACGAAATGAGGAACCAGAATATTGTATACTACCACACATAAAACGTGTGCGTTGTATTGTGTGTGTGTGTGTGCGTGAGAGTGTGTGTATAGCGGGCTTATTTATTAACATAGGACAAAGGAGCGTTACCAAATACTAGGATGTCTGTGTGTCAATGTTTGATTACTTTATGCATGTGTCTATGTATTGCATATATAAAAGGAGATGGTTGCCATGGATACGAGTAGTGACCTTGGATCACATCATCATGGTGTCTTCTTTTTGTTTCCCACCAGGCTTGTTTTACACCCGCCGCTCACTAAAGCAAAGAGACTTGGGCAGAAAAGGGAATTCGGCACATCGGAAGTCGTACTTTGTTCGTATCACCTGAGACATGCCAAGCTGGTTGTGGTTGATGCTTACGGTGGTGATCTTTCTTTTAAGGTTCCGAGCTGCAAGGAGAGAAAAGATACCTTTTTTCCTCTGAATCGTTCATCCCCTACCATTGACTACATGCGTTGGCCTTTTAGCAATCTGACAGCACGAGGTTATTCCAGTCTCTCCACCACCACCAACACTCGGCGGATCAACACCCGATTGCTACTCACCATTCTCAAATGGATCGTCCTTGCTATACTCGCCGGCATTACAGCCTTCTTCATTGTATGCCGTGTAGACACCCACATGCGCATCTATGTCCGATTCTGGCTATCACCACGGAAGCCTGTTATTGTTGAACCACTTTCAGAGGAGGGTGCGTGTTTTCAAAACTTGGCTCCAAAGTATCAGCAAGGCTATGCGACACACAGTATCAACATGATGCCTGGTTACCGTATGCAGGATGACACTTGCTATGGATATGCAAGCACCGTGAAAAAGCCTCGCCATCGCATGGGGAATAACGACACAGTGATCTATTTTCATACGACGTGGTCCTCGGCAGACAACACATTTGGCGAAACACAATTGGCAACACTCCGTTCCTTTGTTGCAACCCAGGATCCAGCGACGACTCGGCTTATTGTATGGATTGATGAAAAGGATCAAAGGTTATTGGATGAATCACCTTATTGGAAAGAGGCAGCTGAACATACGGATCGCATCTGGTATGAGATCGATAATACGACACAAGATACATTCATTGCATTCAAGGCATTGTCGACCTATGGTGGCGTGTGGTTTAATATGAATACACTCTTTGTACGAGATTTGGAACCGTTACTTGTTGGCAATGATTGGATCTCTCAAGCAACGTGCTACACCAGCGTGGAAGGCAACCCATTCTCTGGATCATCCATGATGTACTTTACAAAGGACTCGCCCTATCTATGTGAATTGGAAAATGCCATCAGCGAATCATCCTTGCCACCCATCAATCAACTTACGCTGGCAGATTTGGGTCGACTTTATTACCGAGTCTACGTGCGGATATTAAGGAATGGATACAAACCATGGGCCATCATACCGTGGTGCTATTTCGAACCCTCTCAATGTACAAAGTCATTACGCTTTTCAAGTCCCTTTGCATCGTCAACTACAGCAATCAGCGATCATTGGTTAGATAGCATCTTTGCTTTTCATTATCACGATACCCCTCCTTCTACACCCTCGGGTGCTATTTATGAATCTCTTAATAACAAATACAAGGACGCGGTTGAATGGTAGATACTAGATCCCCCGTTTGTCCTCTTCCAAAGATACTTTTTTATATATGTGTGTGATCATCGTAAAGGCACTACTGGCCATAATACAACAGGGCTATCTTTAGTTTGACATGCTTTGATATACTCTGCATCTAGAAAGCGCTCTTGTATCACTACTTGTTCACTGTACTCGGCCTCCGTATCAATATGGATCAATCGATTTGCTGGTGTCTCAATACCACCCTTGTGTAGTCCATTGCAGATATAGGGTTCATCGTCAAAGGTACCTTGATCCTCATCCTCATCCTCATCCCCACCTTGTTCTCGCTCAGCTGCTTCGCCTAAATGATACTATCCATCAGCCTTAAATGTCAAAGCATCTTCTCTTATCATCACGTACGTTCTTTACGATATGCTTCAGAGAATCGAAATATTTCAATAGCTTCCTTGGATAGCCCATGGTGCTGATCTTGATCGTCTTGAATGTCTTGTTGTTGATCCACCTCTTCCTCCATTGCGTCATTCATGGTTGGCTCTTGCTGGTATTGTTGTTGTTGCTGCTGCTCCTGATATGGCTGCCATGATGGATAAAGGTTTCTTTGTAAGAGGTGTTTCCACTGTTCAACTTGCTGTGGGCTAAAGTGGGCAGCATGAAAATCACCAAAGCCAAGTCGGTTCATAGCTAAAAAGTCCACGTAGTCAATTCTCCCAACCCAGATAATATATAGAAGCGAAATTTGATCATTTTATAAACGTATATACACAAGAACAAAACTATTTAGAATACTGAAATAGGCTTCATGGCCATCTTGACGTGCTGAACTACATTGGTGACACGCTTGTGAAGAGCCTCATTCTCACAATCAACGCTCTATCGAATCATTTTATCATTAATACAAAGCATTAACATGAGTCAAGGGCAGATGTATACTCACAAATTTGATAGAGTCAATAGTAGCCTTGACACCATCCACATCGACCGTGATCTTGTGATCTTCTTCATTGGCATCGACTTTTCCAAACTGCTCTTCCAAAAAGGTAACCATGTTTCTGAAATCGGATGCAATCTCTTCATCCACCTTCAAGTGCACGGACTTTTCATCGTGATCATGTGAATGCGAGCATGGCTGAGTACTCACTATATACATACATTTTGCATTAATATGGATCCCTCCTTTGTAGATCGATCGCTTACCTTTGACACTGGCAGGAGAACTATCCACCGACAAGATCACCGCCAGCACCGAATCGGCCACCATATCATTCATGGCATTTCCAATCCATTCGAGCATCAATTGATTACCTGCGCCTTGGAGTTTTTTGATATCAATGGTATCGAAAACACGCAACACGGATCCTTTTTCGGTTGATCCATCCACTTTGCTGAGATCCGTCTCTTGCACAGTACCAAACATCATTTCCAAATGCCACTTTAGTAAGCTGATGGCTGCATTGAAAGGCACGACTTGTCGCTGAGTGACAACGGTTGTGATCAATCCACCCAGCTCGTTCAAATCCTCTGTCGACATGATGTTGAGTTGAAAGTCCTTGGCAACAATGACACCGTTCAATGGCTCATCTTCAGTAGGATACTTGGCTGCCAATGTACCAATGGTCTAATTCATCCCACGCGTGAGTAAAGAGAGGATGATGATGATCCCAAAAATGGTCTCTTACCTTGGCCATTTTCTCACCACGGAAATGCAACTTTACAGTCTCACAGTTTTTGGGTGTGTAGATCTTGATGTTTTCTTCGCGTTCGGAATACCTGCTTTGCAATGCTGATTTCAACCGAAACATGTTGTTTGCTTCACCATGCACAAGCATCTATTTTCAATGGATACCACTTAGCTGGATGATCGATCACTTTTTCTTTTCCTGTACGCATACTCACCACATGAGGTGCCTTGACTTCTTCAATAAACTGGCTGTTTTGTGTAAAATCAACATGGGCAGAGAATGAAATGTAATCAACGGACATCCTTAAAGGAATCTTGCGACCATCCATAGCATTGAAATCTGGTGGCTCATTCATGGCTTGCTATAAAAGAACATGTTATTGATATCCTTTGACCTTTTCGTAAAAGATAATAGTTACCCTTGCCAATGTGTTTTCGACACAATAACCGGTGAATACCAAGCCATTCTTTTTATCAGGTGCCCATCGTTCAAATAATTCTCGAGATAAGCCATTCTAAAAGGTCAAGGTATTAGCACGATGAATCTCCATTCGATAATCAATGGACATTACCTGAAGCATACCAGGACTAGCCATCATGACGCAGGGACCCGAGTCTTCAAATTGCTCCACGTTGCGAAGATTACTGATATGCTTGAACACGAATGGATTGGAGATAGCAAATTGCTTTCTGATTTTGGCGTTCATCATGTTGATATACGTTTGGTACACTGCCATACACTTTTTGGCCAAGCTGGAAGCATAGTAAATTGGAATGCTGTCAAGTTCTGGATGAGCCTCCCAATACTCGTCGAGAATGAGCAACAATTCTTGTGCACGACCCAAGGCAAACACCGGCATAAGACATCGTCCACCACGGCCCACGATATTGTGAATCAACGCTATCAATATCCTTTAGTCTTCTTTCATAAAACAACCCTCTCCTCCACCTCACACTTACTTGTAAACCGATTCTCCTTGTCGATACGTGGCTCGTGTGATTGTGTGCCATAAGTACTCTCTGCAATCAAAACATCCACTGGACTATCCGGTTTCTCGGCTGCCATCAAGTGACGATCTTCTTCACGCGAATAGTCACCCGTATAAAGAACGCGTACACCGGCAATCTCGATCAAAAACATGGCTGCACCAAGTACGTGACCAGCATTAAACGAAGTAAACTTGATGCCTTCCATTTCCACTTGTTGATGATAATCGACAGCTTCAATACGGTTGAAGGAGTTGATAAGATCCTCCTCGGTATATAGTTGATCCTCGTCTCCAATATTGCTATAGTCATGTTGTCGGTGATCATGCTATTCAATCCCCCACTCGATTTTTCGCTCTTACCTGACACGTAGATAATCATTCAACAACCATTTATAAATGGCCTTGGTAGGATGTGTCATGAATACGCGACCTTTGAAGGATGTCTATCCATGACATGCGTGTGTAAGAAAGATGGATGTGTGTGTGAGGTATGATATGACTTACTCTTTCCATCAAATAAGGAACAGCAGCAGCATGGTCGACGTGGAAACTTTGGAGGGGTGATTAGACAACATGTCAATCGTCATCCACATAGGCACACACTTACTGAGTCACCAACAAGACATCGATACTTGCGGGATCAATTTCATCAAAGAAAGGTAACGAGGCCAAACCATTGTATGCAGGATGGATACCAGCATCGAGCTTTTTTTGAGGAGTTCACAACATGTCAAAGAAAAGTAAAAAGAAATGTATATGAGTTGAAGCCATTCATTTTTATTGTGATAATGCTGGGGAGAGGGAGAGAAAGAGAGGATAAAGTGGTACTACAGTGCAAGCAAAAGAAAGAGAAAAGAGATCGAAGGACCAAATGGGAAAAGACACATACCAATACTTTTTTGCCCTTGTATTCAAGCAAGATGGACGACCGACCAACCTCATTACCCGATCCAAGAGGTGTCAATTTCAGCAAGTCGTTCTCGTCGACGATGGGTATTTCGATTTCTGCTTTGCGTTTGATGCCAGCCATGAGGGAGGTTGTGTGTTGAAAGGAAAGAGAGAAATAAAGTCCGTTGCTGCTGCGACATTTGAAAATGGCTGCTGGATTATATGGCATACCTTTTGACAACCGCCTCCTTTGCATATACATCCCACTTGTCAACCCTTCAACAATACCATAGCAATAGTGATCCTTGTGGATAGATTGGGCTTTCAGCATCACTCCAGCGTTGACTGTGACACGGACGTCATGCTCCAATACGACCATGACATCACCGTATGCCTTCATTGTTTATATGACCTGATGTTGTAATAAGGATATCAAATGAAAAGAGATCGTAACCAATTTCAATATTGAACGCCATGTTGATAACACATTAACTTTTTGGAAGATGTTGTTAATGCAACAAGAGCAGCCTGGTTGGCAGGAGGATACACTTGGCAGGGAATAGAGATCATTTTGCCATGGCAACTGGTGGCGAACGAGGAGAGCGGAGAACATCAAGCTTTATCTTGTGAGCAAACTCATGTAGCACATCTGAAAAGGCACTTGCAGCTGAAACGCTTTCTTTTTTCTTTTACCTCTTTTGCTGTCATGGAGCCTCATTCACCTTCGTCGACGACACCTCTCTTGCCACAATCGCCAACGAGCATTAGTAGTAGTTCTGCAGGGAGCAGCAGTGGCGGCGGTGGCAAGCCGCGTTATCGCTCTATCCACCGAGTACCTACCTTTATGCAGACCTCAGTACCCAACCGACGATCCATTGTCCACGCATTCCTCAACATGACCATGCACATGATGCTCGAGTTGGTGTTTCCCATTGCTTTGTATTATGCGTTGCGTACAATACTTTCGCCTTTATGGTCACTTGTCCTTGCTGGTGTGCCTACTGCTATCATGGTGGTGATCAAGGGGTTCCGAGAACATAAAGTCGACATGATGGGATTGTTAATGCTGCTCGGCTTTGCTGTCTCTGTTTTACTCGCTATGGTGGAATCCGATCCAAAGCTCTATCTTTTGCGAGAATCAGCCATGACATCGGCTATGGGACTCATGCTATTCGCTACCTTGATACCTTTTCGATGGAAAAAGCACGTCTTGCGGCCCTTTATGTTTTACGTTGCACGACAGATTGCAGTAACAAGTACGATGATGCTGGATCCTCCTACCATTCGTTTGCATTGGGATTGGTTTTGGAGAAATTGGCGTTCATTCCGTGCCTTCTTTCGTGCTCTTACCTTGCTATGGGCATTGGGATTACTCAGTGAATTCGCCTTGCGGGTCTTGCTCATTTATACAATCGATGATGTGGATGATATTGTTTATTATTCCAATGTATACATGTTTGCCGTCACTTTGACTCTTGGCACCCTTACTATCGCTAGCACCCTTCTCTTTCGCCACTTGTTTAATCGAGAACAAGCAAAGTCTAAATCTATTGAACGACAACAGGAAATCGAGGAAATCATTGCACGTGCGGCAGAAGAAGAAAATACCCAACGCTCCATCCAATAATAATAAAACAACGACACCACTATCCTGTATTTGTGTTGCTACATGTAATGACCTTGCCATCAATCATTGATAGATACTAGCCTGCATCTACTATGTATATAATTGATGGTGGAAAGTATCATCCGCGAAAATAAACATCAAAAGAAGAATGCACCTTTTTTTTTGCTTGGACCTACCTTACATCATAGAGTATGCGTTGTTTTATTATGAAGAGGTCTGCGTTTGCCAAAAAAGTTTATACATGCCGGCAATAAAAAGCGCCAATACGACTAACCTAAGTGGGAGGACACTACATCAAAAAAACGTACATTTGGAAACAACTAAATGCAAATGCAAAAAGCGAGAAGTCACGTGATACTCGTTACACGAAAAAGCAAAAAGGTTTAAACACTCATTTGAGTGTTTCGATGTTTCGAGGCTACCAGGGGTCGAACCTGGAATCTCCTGATTCGTAGTCAGGCGCCTTATCCATTTGGCCATAGCCCCTCGAGTTATTTTGTCAGTTCTTGTTTCCTAGTTGTCTCAGGGCTTGCCAAAAAGAGAATTCAAGTAAAAGTATATCAAATGTGCCTTCAAACTAATGCCGAAACAAGAAAGAAGTATTGAGGAAGCTTTGAATAAAGAGAAGTGACAAGAAGTTGTAAAATAGTTATGGAAAAGAAGTGTGTGAAAGTTATTATTACTGCATGGGCACTGAAAAGATACTTATATACTACAATATTACTACAGAGAAACAATACGAATGGGTGTGTGGGGGAAAAGAAAAGTGTGGGAACAATAATGCAAGTGGTTGCTGTGGAGGTCAAGTTGCCATGGAACTAGAGGCCGCCGACTGAGAATCAAATTTGGAAGTGACTTGCGGAGGCCGACCAGGCTTGAAGCGGTATTTTGCACGCTTACCAGCTTCGCTTGCACCGACAATTTTTCAATTTGTGAGTTACATGTTGTTTCAAAGACCTTCTCAAAATGGAAGATGAAAAATGTTAAAAAGCGAACAGTAACCATGTCAATATGCACATCATTCTACAGCGGAATGACCACCAATTTCAAATATGAAATCGTAGCATTTTTAGGGGAGGTCAATCATGAGTAATGGGCATAGGAAGACATTTCAACTTTGGGATCCAAAAAGATTTCGAGCTCAGAATTGAAAAAGAGCCAAGTTCAACGCTCCGCCCCTTTGATCTTTTTATGCATACAATGCTTGTTGTATCCAGCTAATGATGACATCTTCTTCATTTTTACAACACGTTTGTGATGTTTCAAATAAAGAAGAGAAGAGACAAGATAAATCCTTT